TGGGTCGTCCTGTAATCTCGGTCTCCGGATCGGCCTCCCGACGCAGCAGTGTCTGGTATACCCCAGCGGCGGACTTTTTCGGAAAGTCGCTGCACCCGGGTCCGTCACGCCACCGCAGCAGCATTGCCCGCGCTGCCCGGCCGCTGCCGCCGGCGCCGCTCTCTCGCCGTTCCGGGTCCCCGTCGACCGGGGCCCTGTATCCCGGGTCCCCGCTAGTCGGGGCCCTGTATCCCGGGTCCCCGCTAGTCGGGGCCCTGTATCCCGGGTCCCCGCTAGTCGGGGCCCTGTATCCTGGGTCCCCGTTAAACCGGGTCCCTGTATCCTGGGTCCCCGTTAAACCGGGTCCCTGTATCCTGGGTCCCCGTTAAACCGGGTCCCTGTATCCTGGGTCCCCGTTAAACCGGGTCCCTGTATCCTGGGTCCCCGATAAACCGGGTCCCTGTATCCTGGGTCCCCGATAAACCGGGTCCCTGTATCCTGGGTCCCCGATAACCGGGTCCCTGTATCCCGGGTCCCCGTCGGCCGGGTCCCTTTATCCGGGTCCCCGTCGACCGGGGCCCTATATCCCGGGTCCCCGCTAGTCGGGGCCCTATATCCTGGGTCCCCGCTAGTCGGAGCCCTATAATCCGGGTCCCCAGCGACCAGGGCCCTGTATCCCGGGTCCCCGCTAGTCGGGGCCCTATATCCTGGGTCCCCGCTAGTCGGGGCCCTATATCCCGGGTCCCCGTCGGCCGGGGCCCTTTATCCGGGTCCCCGTCGGCCGGGGCCCTGTATCCCGGGTCCCCGCTAGTCGGGGCCCTATATCCTGGGTCCCCGCTAGTCGGAGCCCTATAATCCGGGTCCCCAGCGACCAGGGCCCTGTAATCCGCGTCCCTGTTCGGGCGCCATTTGTAAGCGGCGAGGAGAAGCAGACAGGCCAACCCAATATGGGTGATAAGCAACTTCTAGTTTATTTGTGACGCAGTTCACACATATATAGGAGTGGTAGTACTCAGCCACTCCTTCTTGGCATAACAGTATTGGTTAGCCCCCACAGCTTCCTCCACATTCTCCTCCCAGGTCCGGTCTCTGTCCACCTGTGGGGGCCACCCCCTGCCTTGCTTGCACAGTCCTCCAGAACTCTATGGTTCTGCTCTTAAAGTCATTCTGCAACAAAAGCTCACCTGTCATTAGAAATAACTTACATTTCAGCAGTGCAGTTAGCTCAAAATCGTAAATACAGATAACTCCCTGTAAAAAAAAAAGAAAAATCACTTTAAATTAGACTATTTAGAAAGGTGAAGCAAATAAGTCTGGTTTAAGGGTAATAACAACCTCATTAACCATCTGCAATAGGTAATTATGATTAGGCACTGTTCTTCCCATAACCTTGCTCTGTCTCTGTGTATGAAGGTGTTGACGAATTGAGGCTGACAAATGGAACTGGCCCCTGCTCTGGGAGAGTGGAGATAAAACACGAGGAGCAGTGGGGAACTGTGTGTGACGGTGACTGGACCATGAAAGATGCTGAGGTTGTTTGTAAGCAACTACAATGTGGATATGCTGTTCAGGCTCTTAATGAAGCTGACTTTGGACAAGGATCTGGACCAACATGGTTGTATCGAGTTTTTTGCCGTGGGAACGAATCCGCTCTCTGGAACTGCTCACATGACGGATGGGGTGTTTTCTCCTGCGCACATGCCTTTGATACTGGAGTGATCTGCTCAGGTAAGAAGTCATCTAACCTTCCATAATAGAAAAATGCTATGAGGTGAGATCAAACTTTGTCCTAGCTGGATAAAGCCAAGTCCTGCACAGAGGTAGTAATTTCTCCATGGCCTCCACTCAGCCAAAATAAGTTGCACCAGCATTAAGTCTTCTGCTGACTACAAGTGTATGTCTCCTTTTCCTGGGCACAGCACTGACACAGAATGGAAGAAGACATAGTAAATAACATACAAGAGAAACACTATTTAGTTCTACCACAGCTCGCCCAGGCAACAGGAAAACAGTAGTAAACTTGTCTTTGACCAGTAGTGAGTCGGGCTAGATCGAGGTGTAGATGGAGAAGCAAGAAAGTGCTGTGTTATGCCATACACCTGCCCTTCTTCAGATCTTCATGTAGCTAAGATGGAACAGCCTGCAGTGGCAAACAAATCCGATGTCTGTATGCTTTCATGCCTTCCTCTGCAAGAGTGGTGAGGCTCTGGCACAGGCTGACCGGTGAACTTGTGAATGCTTCATCCCTGGTGGTGTTTGAGGCTAGGTTGGCCTTGAATAACCTGGTCTAGTGGGAGGTGTACCTGCCCATGGCAGGGGGACCAGAACTAAATGATCTAAGGTCCTTTCCAACCCTAACTATTCTATGACTCTATGCATTTGGGTTTGCTCTTTGCATAAAGAACCACTGCAAGAGTTTTTTCCTTGCCAGCTTCAGGACTTCATATTTGTCCTTTTTGATTTTTAGAAGGTTCCTGTCAGCCCATTAATCCAGCGTGTCCAGGTCCCTCTGAACTGCAGCTCTGCCCTCAGGGTTATCTCCTCCCACCCCCCTCAAATTGATAAGAGTGCCTGCCATGACCTCCTTCAGGTTGTTGATAACAATGATGAACAGAAAGGTCCCAGGAAAGACCCAACAAGTGGTATTCCCTTCTTGCCAGCTGTCAGGTAGACTGAAACCACCTAATCATTAGTATTTGAGTTTGACCATCCAATTACCTTCTTTCCCATGTAGCTGTCCACCCACCCAGGCTGTAACATCCTGGTCTGAACACAAGAATATCGTGCAAGACACTGTCAAAGGCCTTGCTAAATTTGAGGTAAATGACATGTGCTGGTTTCCCCTCATCCACAAATCCAGTCACTTTTATCAGAGAAAGTAAAAATACCACACCGGCATGCTTTAACCTTGGTAAATCCATGTTGACTCTTCCTATTCACCTTGTGCCCAGCATTGCGTTACAAGAGGACTCACTCCATGCTTTTCCCAGGCACCAAGGTGAGGATGCCTAGCCTTTAGATTTCCAGACTGTCTTTTTAGCCTTTTCTGAGGATGTATGCAACATTTCCTGTGTCTTCTTTCTGGGGCTTTCCAGTTCCCTATTCATTTCAATAAGGGAGTCTCAAGGACACGCACTAGTAAGTGACTTTCTATTTAGAGATTGCTACTTCTCGAGTGTTTGGCAAACAGTCAGAACTCCCCTCCCTCTGTAGCTTCCCAATGATTAAGTATTTTCAAATAATAAGAAATAAGCATTCCCATACATTTTCTCTCTTGTGAGCAGCATACAGGAGTTGCCACAATGATTATTTCCATGTGTCAGCAGAAATCATCATTCTCATGATGCCACTGTTGTATGTTCAGGTGAGATTCTGGACTCATGGACATAATTTGCTTGTGTCCTACATGTCTTCTTCCTGTCAACCCACGGTTCAGAGCCTTTGCATGTTTCTATGGTTCTCAGTGTTCTTAAGTACTTCAGCAGCATACAGGAATTGCCACAACGATTACTTCCACGTGTCAGTGGTCCTCAGAGAAGTGTCATGTGTCTTGCATGTGAAGGTGTGGGATTTATTAAACTAGGTCAGTGCAAGCAACTCTTGATGCTGGATTTCTTGTTTTGGTTTGGTTTGTGTTTTCTCCAGGTTTCACTGAGCTGCGTTTGACTGGAAGGGACACCGCCTGCTCAGGACATCTGAAAGTAAAGCAAGAAACTTGGGTTACAGTCTGCTTTTCACACATCGATTTCAAAACTGCCTCTGTTATATGTAATGAGTTAGAGTGTGGAGAGGCTGTGGATATCTCGAGAGGAGCTCCCCTTGGCGACAAAGCTGAACTGATCTGGCAAGAAAAGTTTCACTGTCTAGGGAATGAGACTCACCTTGCACACTGTTCCAGAACGTTGCTCCATAGTAAGACATGCTCTCATGATGCCACTGTTGTATGTTCAGGTGAGATTCTGGACCCATGGACATAATTTACACGTGTCTTCTTCCTGTCAACCCACAGTTCGGAGCCTTTGCATAGTTCTGTGGTCCTCGGTATTCTTAGGTACTTCTCCTGCTACATCCTGAGCCATCAAAGGAAGGCCAGGAAGTAATAGAGCAGCCCCATGATCTCTCATTCATTCTACTGAGGGCCTGCTTTTCTAACCACTTCACTTCTGCACCAGGGATGCAAATCTCAAAAGGGCTGTATTTTCCTTCATGATACTAGAGGCATGCACTCAGTAGTGCTGAGAATTCCTTCTGCGTCTTTATGTACATTACGGGAGAGATGGCCAGAGCAGACACACAGGAACATTTTCCCTGCTGCCAGTGTGTATGTTACTCATGTACTTCAGTTAAGGATAAAACTGGGATAGGTGCCATGCCTCCTAAAGCTCAAAGGAGGCATAAGTTACAAATCTATGTTAAAGAGTTGTCAGGGGTCTGGATGACTATATTTGTGACTCCTCAGCTTTGGCTGGGGAGCTGTGGCAGCTAAATGGAGCAGTTGAGGTATCAGTAACCAACAGGTTACCATCCTGCACATCGGAGCAGAAATCCAGGTCTCATTAGGGGAGTACAATACAAGGACCAGGAAAGGGTAAGAAGTAACAGTGTGAGACGATAGACAGACTGCATGGGGCTGGCACAGGACACCATAGTCCTACGTGTGGCACACTTAAATTATTGTGACTATGCCGATGGGTATGGACTGTTGTGTTCAGAGTCTTGCACAGCAGCATAGATGAAAGCTGAAAACTGCTCACTGCAGTTGCTGCTTACCGGGATGACCAGCTACTGGGAGATGGAGTGCTACTGGTAGCTGCTACTTAACATTACTCACATGCTCCAAACACAAGGAATGCTGGATCTGCCTCTGCAAGAAAAGGTGTTGCAGGGTAGCAACGTTATTGTTGTAGGAGGAGAGAGCAGAGCAGAGCAGAGGAGGAGAGACTGAACTCAAAGTCAAAAAACTTGTAGTCATGTAGTGCAAGCTACAACACGGACAATAAGGGTTTAGGGTCATTTTTCAGAGTTGTCTTAGGAACATTCTGGTCTAACATTCTTCCAAGTAACCAGAGGCGTAGTGAGTGCTAGTTCCTTACAGCTAGTTCCTTGCAGCTAGATCTCTCTTACAATTTTCAATTCAAAAGCACAAAAACCCCACCAAACCCAAAACTCCAACCCTGCTGAGTTCCTTTTTCCTTCCTGCAGGCTATGGTGGGTACAGGTTGGCAAATGGCAGTACCTCGTGTTCAGGGAGAGTAGAGCTTCTTCATGGCGGCACGTGGGGAACCCTGTGTGACTACCTGTGGGATTTACCAGCTGCCAATGACCTTTGCCAGCAGCTGGACTGTGGGGTTGCCCTACAGATACCAGACGGACAGTCCTTCGGGAAAGGAAATGGATCTGTCTGGAATGGGACATTCAGCTGCAAGAAGAACGCCTCACATCTGAGAGACTGTCCTGTGAGTGTGCTAGGTCGTGATGAATGCCCCGCTGGAAAGGACGCTCGTGTAGTGTGTTCAGGTGAGCATTGGAAAAGTCTAAGAGCAGAACAGAACTCCTTTTTTGAGGAAAAATATGGACCCAAACTCCATGTGAGCCAAGCTATCATGTCTGGTCTCTGGACAGTCCCCAAAAAGGCAAAGTAAACTATCAGATGTAGGCTCCAACTGGAGAGAACAGACAGGAGTAACTAGATGATCTTAAGGTCCTTTCCAACCCTAACTATTCTAGGAGTCTATGAGTAGTAGGAGACAAGACTGGAGACAGTTACACGAGTCACATAGCTGAGGGAAGGACTGAAGATCTGGTTCACGTTTGGGTGAGGCCCCAGGGTGCATAGCTGGAGGCACTAGGTGAGACTGGTCAGAATAACTAAGGTCTATTGGTTCACCCAGAGCCCTGAAACCTAGTGCCCCACGTTTAAAAACTGCAAAGGGGAACAGCTCCTGGTTTCTAGTCATCCTTCTCAGTAAAATAGGGTTGACTGAAGTCTAGTTATGAGTATGGGAGTTCCAGTGGGCCGGTGGAGTATTTTATTACTGAATACTAAGGAAAACTCATTCCCATGTCCCAGTCACTTTCAGGTCATGACCATGAGTACATACGTGACATCTCAGTACTCAATTCTTATATTCAGGGTGCCCAGGGGGCAGGCTGGTGAATGGCACCACCTGCTCTGGCAGAGTGGAGATCCGCCATGGAGACACATGGGGAAGTCTATGCCGATCCCACTGGACTTTGAAAGCTGCCAACGTTCTCTGTCATCAGCTGAACTGTGGCTATGCAAAGTCAGTCCAGACAGGAGATGATTTTGTGGACGGGGATGGGCCTCTATGGAGAGATGCTTTTCACTGTGATGGGACAGAGTCCTGCCTGTGGGACTGTGCTCAAGTGACTTTGGGAAATCCAAGCTGTTCAGCCAGAGAAGCAGCCACTGTTATTTGCTCAGGTAAGGCAGGAGTGGGCTTTTACGGGTAGTGCAACTTCACACCAAAGCAGCATTTGTGATGTTACTCTGCCAAGCAAGTCTGGTATGTCCCTCTCCCTCTCCCTATCTTACCCCTTTTCTTCTCCTCTCCTCAAGTTCCCTCCCTTTTCCCTTCCCTTCCTTTCCCTCCCGTTCCATCCCTTTGTCCTTCCCAATCCTATTTGCCCCACCCCTCCAGTCTTTGTTTCAGCATAGAAACTTCATTTAGTAGAAGGACTCACTGTGTCTGACTCTTCATGGGATTTAGTCTTTAAGCCGGGGAAGACTTTCTCACTTCCCATCGCAGACCCTTATGTGCATGAAAGAAACAGCCTTAACAGAGTCTGTCTCCTTTAAGCAGTACTGAGAATTACTATTTTACTAACATAGAAATTTGTGTTCTATCTCTGTCCTGCATGTTATTTCTACTGCAATAAGAGCAGTAGATGTTATTCAATACATTTTCCAACTCTCTTGAGTCCAGGTCTTGCTGAATCACTCAGACTCTCAGGTGGTGAGAGCCGCTGTGATGGGCGAGTTGAAATCTTACTCCATGGCACATGGAGCAGGGTCCTGGATGATGACTGGGATGTTAAGGATGCTCATGCGGTATGCAGACAACTAGAGTGTGGAATTGCCAAGAAAGCCTATTACCTTCCAAGGTCTAAGCGAGGCATTGGGGTTGTTGGCTTAAGAAGCGTCCAGTGTGCTGGAAATGAGACTCAGCTGATGCTCTGTAAGACTTCGCGTTCTCACACAGTGCCATCGGGAGTTGCTGAAGATGTTGGTGTGGTTTGCTCAGGTGAGTTACTGTGCAAAAGGTACACAATGCTTCCCAGGGTTAAATCAGCCCACTTTGTGGTCTCACCAAAGCTTAAACAGGCATGGGTCTGAGCTTCTAATATCTACCTGTTTGTATATTCTAAGGGACAAATGATAGTTAAGGAAGCAAGTGTAACTGATATCATGCTTTCTTCATCTGAATTTCTTACAGAATTTATCTCACAAAATCAAGAGAAATAATGGAATATAGGAGCCATAAGGATACTGATTTGCCCAACATCGCCACACATTCTGACTGTCACTTAGGAATTAAATAGGTTTTCCTGTGTGACATTTCCTTATTTATAGGTACCTGCAGCCTTTGTAAAGTAAATTGGAACCGTTTCTACTCTTATTTTGTAACCCATCTGTAACAGTAATTGTTTCTAAGTGCGTTTAGATAGAAAACAGCTTCTCCAGCTTTCTAAGGTAAGTTGATCTCTGAATATACTTAGTATGACCAGACACTCCTTGTTTGCAGTTTTTCACAGTAATTATTCAAGTATTTACCAGATTCAGGAGTAGGCCTTTCCCTTTATGTGGTTTTAGCTCCTCAGGAGTTCTGTCCAAGAAGCCGTAACAGAAGAGCTGGAATATAACAAGAACACAATGCCTTAAAAGTGCTTTAAACATACAGCCATAACATGCACCTGTGTATTATTGTTCTGTTTCAGGTTGACAGATGGGTTTTCTTCCTGCAGGTAGCAGACAGATCAGGCTGGTGAATGCAACAAAGCGTTGTGCTGGGAGAGTAGAGCTTTACCATGATGGCACCTGGGGCACCATCTGTGATGATAACTGGGACCTATCGGATGCTAATGTTGTTTGCAAGCAGCTGGGATGTGGACATGCCATCAAGGCATTTGACTCCGCTCATTATGGGGAAGGCTCAGGACAGATCTGGCTGGATGATGTAAACTGCACTGGGGCTGAATCTGATCTCTGGGCATGTCCTGCTAGGGCACTGGGCCATCACAACTGCCAACACAAAGAGGATGCTGGAGTCCTATGCTCAGGTGTGTTCAGAAAATCCTTTTCTGAGCCTGTGGATTGAAAAGGGAGGGTTGCATAAAGGGGAAGAAGAGATTATCAGAAACTTCCTTGGACAGCCTCTTGCTTTCTTGACTACAAGCGTAGTTGATCAGCATATCCCCTTGGCCCCACCAAAATGGCTAAGCATGGTATGGGGGATTGAGGACAGAGAAGGGTGCTTAGTTTTGTCTTGGGAAGACATAATGCAAGCAATTAGGCAGTGTGATGTCTGTGGAATGAATATAACATACAGTGTGAATGATGAATCAGTATGCACAGTGAGAGAAATGAAAGTTTGGAGATGCTTAACAAGTGGATTATATGTACCAACCCTTTCCTCCCCAGCAACATCGTCAGATGCTATGTTCTCATAGTGGTAGAGCATCACAAGGGTGGCTAGAAGGTTTCCCCACTCAGCAAACACAAGTATCACCTTAGAAGAATCAAACAGACACTATCTGTTGGCACCATGAAATGCTGCTTAGGCAGGAATCATACAACCTAAGTAATTATAATACAGGCTGGGGAATGGAGGGATAGAGAGCTCCCCTGAGAAGGCTTGGGGATAATGGCGGGTGAGAGACTGGACATGAGAGGGCAATGTGCACTTGCAGTGTAGAGGCCAATCCTATCCTGGGCTGCAGCCAGAGGAGTGTGACTAGCAGGTGAAGGGAGGTGATTCTGCCCTGCTCTGAAGACAATACACCTGGGGTACTGCATCCAGCTCTGGAGTTCCCAGTACAGGAAAGACAGGGACCTGTGGAGAGGGTCCAGAGAAGGGCCACAAAAATTATCAAAGCAATCGAACACCTCTCCTATGAGGAAAGGCTGCAGAAGAGACGATCATGGGGAGACCTTATTGCTGCCTTTCAGTACTTAAAAGGGACCTATGAGAAAGATGGGGAGGGACATTTTAGCAGGGCCTCTTATCCTGATGATAGGACTAGGGGTGATGGTTTTAAACTAAAAGAGGGGAGATTCAGGCTGGATATGAGGAAAGAATTCTTTACAATGATGGTGGTAAAACACTGGCACAGGCTGCTCAGAGAGATGGTGGGTGCATCATACCTGGGCACATTCAAGGCCAGGCTGGATGTGGTTCTGGGAAACCTGCTCTGGTTAAGGATGTCCTTGCTTCTTGCAGGGGACTTGGACTAGAGGAGCTTTGAAGGTCCCTTCCAACCCAAACTATTCTATGATTCTCCAGTTACAACCATGCAATAATGAGCAGAGTGGGTACATGGCGAGGAAGCTGGAAAAGTAGAGCTGTGCAATGGTTTACTCATGCAGCCCAAAAGACCTGAGCTCATTTAGGTGATAAGTACTGGACAGCCCTTCCCCTGGATTGGGAAGCCTGAAACTGCTGAAACCCCTCAGAAAATAAGTCTCTATTGCTTGAAGAGCAGGGTTTACTTACTGGTTTGTCTTTGGACCAATGAAATAGGAGCCTTTACATAAAATAAGTAGAAGAAAGTAATCATACTTTACCTCATATACTACCTTCTTGTTTATGTGGTTTGAGGGGACAAGGTCTGAATCTAGTAATAAATAGATGCTGAGATAGGTATGATGTTAACTCCTATAATGTGGTTCCCAGAATGAGAGGCATAGTTTTATTGACTACATGTGCACATTGTTACAATGTCAATACCTATTATCTGGAACTAATGGTAGATTTTATAATGTATGTATTTTATGATTATGATGATGGTAAAGTGGAGTTTATAGTGGATGCATATTCAAATGCTTCTTAAATAGGTGCTTCGCAGAGGTGAGTGGTGAAATACATTGGCTACAAGTGGCAGGGTTTCAGTCACTGGAGGCTGTGGGGCTGCCCTCTGCTCCTGCAAGGGAGCCATTCCATCTGGCTCTGAAAACATTGTAAACAAGTCATTGCACACCAAAACTTCAACAAATCTGAGCAGAAAACAATAGAATTATAGACTACCAAGTTGGAAAGGACCTCAAGGACCACCTGGTCCAGTGTTCCTAGGCAAAGCGTGACCTAGCCTAGCTGTCCCAGCACGCTGTCCAGCCAAACCTCAGAAGTGCCCAGTGCTGGGGAATCCACTCCTCCCCTGGGGAGATGATTCCAGTGGCTGATGGTTCTCATTGTGAAAATTTTTCCTCTTGTGTCCAGTCAGAATGTCCCCAGGAGTGATTTGTGCCTATTACCTCTCATCTTTTCCACGTGACTCCTCGGCACCTATGCTTCAACACACCGAAGAAATATGCCTGTAACTGAGGGTGTAACCATCACTGCTGTTTGTTGATGTACAAACTGATGAATGCTGCCTACCCATAGAGGGCCGCTGTACAACTTTTGGGTTTAAGTGTCTGTCACTTTTAAAGTGGTTTCCTCTGGCACTTTCTCATTCAGAATGATGAATAGGATTGTTTGAAGATTCTGGGTTTCAGTCATCACAGACAAGTTCCTAGCAGAGTCAGGCCCCTCTAATTCAATTTTTATGTCTTAACTTCTAGAGTTCCTGGCTCTGAGGCTGGTGAATGGCAATGACTGTACTGGGAGGCTAGAAGTTTTCTACAATGGGACGTGGGGGAGCATTTGTTCCAATCGGATGTCTCAACTCACTGCAGTAACTGTGTGCAAACACCTGAACTGTGGAGACGGTGGGGAAATCGCAAGAGACTTTGAATACGGCAGAGGTTCTGGGCCCACGTGGCTGGACCACATCGAGTGCACTGAGCAACAAAGCTCTCTCTGGCAATGTCAGTCAGACCCCTGGAATGCTCAGTCATGTGATAATCGAGCAGAAGAGACCCATATTTCTTGCACTGGTAATTAGAAATGCACCTGTACAGGACTGCCTAGATATATACATAAACCTATGCATGCATTTAGGGACATTGCAGTAAATACATCATGTTCATTTGTTATCTTATATATATTATTTCTAGTCTCATGCAAATGACATGAGAAAATCTATATCCCTGACCTAAATGAGTGCATTAAAATTATATGAGTGTCATTGAGTGCAGTTACCTGGGAGAAATCCCAAGGAACTTCATCATAGGATAGTACCATTGCATATTTTTAAAGCAAAAATCTATGATAGAAAATCAGTCTGAGAGATCTGAGTTAGGATCAGACTTCTCAAGAAGTCTAGAGGCATGTATGTATTTCTACATGTAAGGAGGGGTATCAGTGCATATGTACATGTACTCATATGCATGCATGTAGCCATGACCAAATGTATGTGTTAGTTCAGTTCTAAAGGTCCATTTCTAATGCCTGCTCTTATGACAGTATTTCATACCTGTGGGTTCCCAATATAATATAAATGAATCCTAGCTGACATTCAGATCTCCTGAAAAGGATTGCAACTGCCTCATACAAGAAGGGACAAAGCACAGTCATCAGGAAGGTTATCTTATTCATAGCAGTAGCCAAAGAGCGATCCACCAAGTACTAGATAGGCCGTGGATCTATTATAGGGAAAAAACCCCACCTTTATGATTAATTTTCAGGCATTTTATACTCCTTCTCTCTTTTCAGAGAATAATCTATTTACTTCAGTATTTCAATTCTGCAGGAAGAAAAGAGGCAACATCTCCAGCCACATTTGCTGAGTGTCCAAACTCTACAAGCTGTTCAGGTACATTCACCTCTTCATTTCTCCTTATTGGTCCCTATGGACCTTCCTGCTGTTTCAGTAACACAGAAGGTTTCTGTGTTTTCCAGACAGGGAGAAGTTACGACTCATAGGAGGAGAGTATGGATGTTCAGGCAGAGTGGAGATTTGGCAGCAAGGCTCTTGGGGAACAGTCTGTGATGATTCCTGGGATTTGGCAGATGCTAATGTTGTATGCAGGCAGCTGGGCTGTGGATCTGCTCTGTCTGCTCTGAGTGAAGCTGCCTTTGGGGAAGGGACTGGTCCCATCTGGTTGGAGAAGGTGCACTGCAAAGGAACAGAACTATCTCTTTGGGACTGTCCTGCCAAACCTTTGTTTGGCAAAAACTGTGATCATAAGGAAGATGCTGCTGTGGAGTGCTCCGGTTAGTGACTGGTCCTTTGCTTCATGACACAGATCTGTGAAGGAGGGGGAACATTATGTCAGCTGTACATCCCATTGACTAGCTCCTTCATAATTTGACTGCAGGAACCTCACAAATGATGTGTTCTCCCTATTTTTCACACTTGCCTCTTTCTTACCTGCACTTGCCTTCTTTTTACAGGTGTAACAGAAACAACAGCATCACCCACTAGAGCAGGTAAAACATTCTTCCTTCCCCTTTCTTTCTCCCACCAAATGAGGATTTAATGTCCCTGATACTGCATAGCAGGTAACTCAGCAGTATATTCCAGGTCATTGGAAAGCAGCTCCCACAGCCTTTTGTAAATGAGAGCCAAGTAGAACTATCCCCAGCTGCTGAATTCTAGCTGCTTGAGCAGGACCCACAATTGGGCAGCAGGTGACCTGCTAGCGTGGGCACAGCAGGAGGCTACAGAGGAGCAGCCCTTTGGATTGCCTGATTCTCGACCTGTTGCTTCTTCATTTCCATTCAGATCCTCCCCGCCGCCCTGCAACAGGGAACACGAGACTTTCAACACCTATCATCCTCTGCATCGTCCTGGGGGCCCTTCTCTGCCTGGTCCTTGCCATTCTTGCTGGACAGATCCAACGTGCCAGAGCACAGCAGAAAGGTGGGTCCCTCAGGACTTGTATGAAATGCCTCCTTGACGTGGCTGGTGAGTGTTTAATTGGCTGGGGATGGGTGACTGAGATGAATGGCATCTGCTGCCACACTGAGAGTTTCACTTACCATCTGGCAGCGCTCATCCTCAGTCAGCATCTCTCAGTGACTTTCCAGGTACCAAACAGGCCATGGTAGACCCCCTTAGGTCACTGGTCCTTTTCATGACCCTACCCTGAGTATGAGCAGAAACTGTGTCGGTGATTATTGCCTTTTAATTCCAGGCTCCAGACTATCCTATGACCCCTTCTCTGAAGCTGTCTATGAAGAGATCGACTATAACGTGACGAAGGAAAAGCAGGGCATAACTGGCCTCTCAGGTCTGTATGTCTTGCTCTTGTCAAGGGAAAATTCCTCCCGGTGGCCCCGATCCCAGTGTGGTACTTTGACACCTCCCAAACCTACTGGGAAACCGAAAATTCCTAGATCTGAGGAGAGGTGTTTCCTCCCCACTGGATTAAGCCAATTCCTCTCCTAGGAACAATTCATCCTTGTCCGAAGCCGTAAAACACAGATCAGTGTTACAGTTTACACAAACAACTCTTGCTGCACCTATTTAAAGCAGGAACATATAAAGGAATAATTTTTATCTCCCTCCTAGCAACTCTGTGTCCCTGTAAGCTTCCTCCTCTTGATCGCTTTTCTCCCTTCATGGCTTACCACCTCCATGAGACACAGAGGTGTTATGGGGCCCTTGAAGGATTCTTGGCTATTCCTCTGGAAACCCTTTACTTTGTAGGAATAATACTGCCTGAGAACCTGTTGGACTTGGATGGTATATACATGAGACCTCTTTCCCTTATGAAGTCTTAGCAGCTAAGGAGAGTTTACTCTGATACCACATTCTTTCTCATTTGCCTAGATTCTTATTCAGAGAGTTCAAAAACAAAAGCACAGTTTTATAGCAGGGACAGTGATGAAGCAAATGGTCCTGGAGCAACTCAAGGTAATGGATAATGGGGACCTACAAAAGAAGAGACCCCAAATCAGGGTAGCTTTTAATTTCCAAAGCATTATTGGTGATTATTTTTTTAGTTTTTGCTGCACTTCATGTCTACTAATGATGCTTTGATGTGAACCAAAAGTTTCTGATTAACGCTTATGGTGGAGGAATGTTATGCAACCTCGTATCCAAGTGCTAACGTTCTCTTCTATATATGAACTTGAAAAGAAATGTTTGCTGGTAGTATTGCAGTCTTCACAGGACCCAGTCACATGAACCCAACAATTTGACAACTGCAACTCTGAAATAAACGGGGAGGATCAAGACAATAAAAAAGCATGCTCCAAATGAGAATATTGACATAGGATTGGAATTGATTTGGGAATTTTAATCCAAGTGAGCTGAAGAAAAGGCGATTTGCCAGACATGAGGGGTTTGTGGGGTTTTTCTGTTTGGAAAAGCTGAGGGTGAACAAGTGTTTGGAGAAGAACTGCGTTTTCCTACAGCTGATCAAAAAGCTCTCTTAGGTATTGCCTGGTCTCTTTTTATTGCTTTTCTTATATTAAGGTTTTTTATTATTTAAAATTAAACTAAAAACTTTCCCTTACTTGCTTTAAAATGCTTATCAATAAGATAATTATGCCAAATAAGATCTTTTTCTTATTCAGATTGAATACTGAGTATAAGGTAAAAGTGAAATAGGAATGCTTAGATTGACCTTTCATTTTATATATGCATTATTTGTATGTCTGTGTTTGTATGTATATACGATAAAACAGTGAAGCAAGGGATGGATTCCAGTTAAGTGCAGATCACAGAGATAGCTGCCCCTGAGGAATCAGACCGCTGGCTACTCACAGCACTGAGGTTGATGGAGGGACTATTCAATGAAAAAGGATTTAGCTAGATGGCTGCATCTATAGTGTGGCTGTCAATGGCTCAATGTGAAATGGAGATCACCAAGTGGTGTCCCTCAGGGGTCCATACTAGGACTGGTACTGTTCAATACCCTTCTTAATGATACAGGTAGTTGTATTGAGTGCATCCTCAGCAACTATTGGAGCTATATTATTGTTGTCTGGAATACCTTAGAGTCCTCAGCAGGGTTCTTAGTTTATTATTGCTCATTATCATGATGAAATGTCAGTATTACAGGCCCTTATGGCTGGATCATCAGCTACTGCTTTCTCTAGAGGAAGATCTCTCCCTGTTATAGTTAATACCTGTACTTTTCCAGAGGTCTCTCCACTGCCTGAAAATGCCCTCCTGGAAGACAGTTATGATGATGCGACAGAAGCTCCTGGACCTAAAGATGCTCCTTTTTCGGAGCAAAATGATCAGGAAGTCATTGGGATCCCTGAAGAAAGTGACAGAAACAAGGATTCACAGACAGGTGAGGAAGAGCAGGCTGTTGGTTTTCATAATCTATAGTTACTGTACTGAACTCAGGGAAAATCAAGGTGGAGGGTACCTCAAGGTATCACCTAGGCTCTACCTAACCACTAGGAACACGACCTACCTGCACAAGGAGTGTAAGTTAGATGTTTATTGTTCTGTTCTTGCAGCCATTCAGTAGCAGTGTTTCCACAACCTCTGCAGGTGATCTATGCTGTGTTTTATGTTTTCCTTACACCTATAAAACTATTGCCTGTGGCTTAACCCAAGTCTTGACTGCTGCAAATTAGAATTGTTACTTCCTAGTACAATGACCATGTGTATGTGTAGCAGGAGGTAGAATCAGGCAAACATTTCTCATAGCCATGCATATGTAAGGTTTTGATTTCTGGAGGAGCCAACTGATAGCCCATGCTGACAGCTGCAGAACCATGTAATATGCTCAGGATGTGCATTTATCTCAGTGTTCTTCCCTTCCTGTTTTCAGGCTGGAGTCCTACTGTGTCAGGAAACAGGACCTCTGCAGCTGACAGACATTCATCCCCTGCTCTTGAAGATACGGGTTATGATGACATTGAAGAGCTGTGACACTGATAGAGACCACTGAGTTGTACCAACCACGTTTGTTAATACACCTCTGTTAATAGAATGCTGATCGGGTACCAGCAGAACCCAAACAACTTGCATTTAGGATTAGTTCACCTAAGTTTGGTTTATTTGCAGAGAAGTGATTACATATTTAGAAGATACACAAGTATGACTGTTAAGAACATCTCTCTAATTTCCCTTATAATTTCCTGTTGTCGAGACTACCTGGACGGTTTTTGCTTTTTATTTTACAATATTTTTCACTGTATTTTTTTTTTCTACTGAATTGGTTTTCCAACTTCCGATATTTGATCAGAAATCGTTTAAAGATGTCCTCTCAAATTTATGCTTCTCCTCCCAGATCCATGAGACAGCTTGTTGGAGTTTATTAGGAACGGAAACTGAGCTGTAAGAAAATCATCAAAGCTCCAGTTCATCTTTTGGATACTCTTGCTTGTCACACACAGTGTGAGGACTAGAACTGATTTTTGAGATGCTGCTTTGAGAGATGAGAAACTCAACAAGAGGTTAATTCTCATCCTCACTTTAGATGTAGGTCTGTCATCTGAGTTATGTACAAGTGAATCACGCATTTGATTTGAAGGAAAAGCTTCTCTTTTCTCCCTCTATCCCATGACTTACTTCCTCCCAGACTCATACCAATTATATAGTGAGTTCAATTTCTTTCCACAAACGGCAAGTGGCGGTCATACCTACAGGTGCCTGTTATGTCATTTCTTCTAATCACATGAAGGCAGATTGAAAAAGACATCACATTGATGGAATAGAAGGTGAGGTATTGCTGTCGTGGCTCCTAATGAAGTTTTTTTCAGGTCTTGAATGTGAGAGCATGCTTTAATGAACCTTATTCAGATCAACTAAGTCTCATAGAAGTAATACCTGCAAGAGTCACCATAATGCAGATGAGACTCTTATTTGTACATGAAAACAACAGTGGTTCTAGCCATCATGATACATAAAGAAATGTGAGTTTGTCCCAAACAGCTGAGAAGACACACAGACAAGCAAACCCTTTCCCAAGTAATCTCACTAACCTCATTAGCTCAGCATCAGGACAACCCTGTGCCAAGGACTGAGGCAGAAGAGACTGGACTGAGATGAACTGAATACTTCTTTGTATTCAGTGAGTATCCTGGCAAATCTACACTTCCTTCCCTGGCTGCCTTCTTTTCAGCACCGAGTGGAGTTTCCTGTGGAATATTGTGAGAGCACTGGAGCGTTCTGTACTGCTATGATTTTGTGACGCATAGGATGCTTCTATCTGTGTAACTTTCTCCTTTCCAAGCTGGCCTGGAAGTAGTGAGAAGGAAATTCAAAAGGACAGGCAAGCCTGGCAAAGATAAGGCACTTCATTCAGAGATCCTAAGGGAATGCAACCACCTTGACATCTAAATCCAGGCAAGAACCAACACCCTCATACTGTCCCTGCTCCACCTGATCTGAACAAAGATCCACTAGGTACAACGTGGATTCGCCCCACAGCTGGGCTAAGACACTCCGGCTACCGAGCAGCTAGCTACTGGATCCCAGTCTCTTCAGTTGCTGGCATGTGGTCATAGAAGCCCCTGCGGCCACAGCCTAACTCCAGCTGCTGTTACAGACACATACATACACTCATAATTCACACTGACACACACATACATACACTCATCATTTCCCAGCAGTTGGCTGGGACTCCCCCATTCCCCTCTGGTAGCCAAGTACTTCTGTGCGCTTGCCCTTTGAGACAGATATGCAGAGCTTACTGGGACATCCCTGGTCTCTCTGGCAGCCAAGTCATGTTTGCATATGACCAACCCTTTTTATCCCCTTATACTTCTAATTTCACACAGTTATTCCTCTCCAAACCACTCAGATTCATACCTTTTCCCTGTCATTGTTTCCTCCCAGAAACACCCCTACTGTAAAACCCTACAGTCCCCTGGGACTCAGACCCTTTTGCAGTATCCCTTCCCTCCAACAGTCCTGCTCCTGCTGACTTCATGAGTCCCTAGACCATGGGGCTGATGTCTGTCCCGGGACAGCCCTTGGTAGGGCAGGACCGTGTGTTCCACCTCCAGAGAGACCCAGTTTGGGTTCTCACGTGCCACTGAGGTGCCCTGAGCACCTCTGCACTTGCAGAGATGTACCTGTGGCATGCTCCTGCGATAGGCTTGGAAGTAGGCAGGGCAGGGGACTCCCCCACCCACCATTGTCTTTCTGCACTCCTCCGTGGATGTGCAGAGTATTGGTTTTACCTGATAACCTACAATTTCAAGCTGTATTACCTGGTTCGTAGAACCAAAACCTGGAAAGACTCATGTCTGAGTGGGAGGTTGCTAAGGGAGCTTAGAGCACAGTCCATAGACCAAGCCTCTGCGGATAATCGAGGGACTCATGCATATAACAATGATTGTGGGAGAAGCGTGTAAGTGTGCATCTCTGCCAGTGAGTATTGATCCAAAAGCAAAAGACCCATACAGTGGGTGAGACGGCTCAGGATCAGGGCATGAACATGCCCATTCAAAGGGCCTGTAAATGTTCATATTCTTGTGAATCTAGAGGGTAAAGGGTATGTTTTCACTAGTGAACTTAACCCCAGTCAGCTATGGAGCACCGGGACAGGACTAAGCATCTATACGGGCTTTTAGTTCTGGTATGTTGTACGGGAATGCTGTTACAGGCAGCACTCTGCCTGTTTCAGTCTGTGCAGCCACGTTAGCATCCTCAGCGTGTGTGTGTGCACGTACCTATCTCTGTGGGGGACACAAGCAGCCTCACTGCTCGCTGAACCCGCACCTCATACAGCAGCAACCACATCTGCAGGCTCCAGTGGCTTGGGAGGAGGAGCTCCCAAACCCCAGAAGATGCCTACGTCGGTTGTCTTTTAACACCCCTTAACGTCCATAGGAAAACGCTCACAAAAATTGCCAGTGTTTAGAAAGAACGGTTCTTAACGGCAGGGTTTTTCCAGCCACCAAGGACTTCACCTTGTTACCGCCCATGACGAGTTTTCCCTTCTCTCTTTGATTTTACATGCCCTCCGCAGGCTCCGGCAGGGAAGACATGCCGGGCTGCTCCGCTGAGCCAGCTCCCGGGCTCGCTCCTCGGGAGCCTCCTCTCCTCCTGCCTCGCCACGGAGAAGGGCACCGGCGTCAGCCGCGGCTCCGCACCCCTCCTCTTCCTCTCAAAGGAGAGGCAGCAAACGGCACCCGAAGCCGCGATCGGGGCCAAGCACGCCGGCGGCACGGGGGAACGGAGAGAGGCGGAGCCGGGCTGACGAACGGAGGCTGCTGCCAACGGGAGCCGAAGGGCGCTCCGCCTCCACCGTCCCTCGCCCGCCCCGGAGGAGGTGCCGCTGCCGCTGGGGCGCCCTGGGTAGTGGCGCCGGGACGGGACGGGACGGGCTGGGGCCGTGATGGGTCGGACGCTGGTGGAGCTGTTTTACGATGTGGTCTCCCCTTACTCCTGGCTCGGGTTTGAGGTGAGGGCATGGTGGAGACAGAGGGAGGCCGTTCCCGGGAGCCTCGCCGTTCTCCCGCGGCCGTTCTCCCTTCCCGGCCCTGCGGGCTGCGGCTGCTGCTGCTGATTCCCCTTTGGGAGGCGGCTGAAGGGCAGCTTGCCGGGCCGGCTGCAGCGCTCCTCCCTACCTTAGGTTTAGGTTTTGGTTTAGTCTCACTTGTGAGGGGCATTTCGGTTTCTTCCTCTCGTGTCTCAGCCGAATGGCGGCATAGCCCGTGTGTATTTTGGAGGTTTGATGTTTAACAAGCGGAAGGATCCGCTCATGTTTTTGATCTTTCCCTTACTTAGCCTTGTTTAGACGTGTATAGTTGTATCACAAACACAGTCTTAGTTTCTCTGAGATCAGAACTCTAGCGGCATCCACAAAAAGCTTTGAGGACTATTACTAATACAATAGAAAAGGACTTATTTGCAGTATCTGTTTAATGCCCTAGCTTATTTCCTAGCTGTGCACAGCTCTATAGGCATCTATTCTGACTTAATCCATCACTGCTTTTTTATGTTGCAGGTGCTCTGCCGGTACCGGCACATCTGGAACATTGATCTGCGCTTTCGTCCAGCTTTCCTTGGGGGCATAATGCAAGCAACTGGTAGGCAATACAGGGAGAGTAGCTCTGTAGGGAAATACCTTCTTCACTAGTACGATGCTGGTGGGTAAGCTCTTAGTGAGGGCAGATTCTACGGAGACAGCTTTAAACTGAATTTTGGCACCAGTAACTAAATACAGAGTTGCAGAGCTCGGCAGTGACTGAGAAATCAGCCACAAGGAACTTCATGCTGTTACAACTACACAGCCACTGTTTGTGGCACATACAGTGTATGACAAAGTGCATCAGTTCTAAACCAGGATAATAATAATTTGGTATGGAATGTTTTCCTAAAGGTTTTCTGTTGGCTTCACACCAGAATTAGTTTGTGGAACACTCTCAGTTTGTAATATGCATAAAGATCCAAGTACTACTAATGGCCTTATTAGTAATTAATGGCCCTGTTAGAAATTAATCACTGAGACAAATCAGGAAATTAACTAGTCTCTGCATTTGTTTAGCTTAGAAGTCATCTGTCTGAATCGGTATAAATCCCTGCTAGGGCATTTTTTACCATGGTTTAAAACTGATTTTGCTAACTTAAAGGGTCCATCTGTGCAAAACCAGTCTAAATCATGTTTAAATCTTAGCATTATCTTTGGAAAAGCTGTGTATGTTTCAGTAAGTCAATATGAAATTATGCTCTTCCTTAGGCATGTGTATGCATGAGGTCTAATTTGTCCAGTTTTGGTTTTGTCCAGAAAAATCTCAACAGAACTATTTTCCTGAAAGGTAACAAGCCCCCAGCAATGTTGCCAAAGCGTGCAGAATACCTGCTGCAGGATGTAAAAAGGATGGCAAAATACTACCAAGTGCCTGTACACATTTCAGGAGATGACTTCAAACGTGTCCTTGGTACAGGTAAGTTAGAGTCTTAGCTTAGTTGGCATCTTTCAACTCTCAGCACTTCTGGTTCAAGTTCTTCCTAACAGTAAAGACGAATTCCTTGTCCACAGCCTCTTCCTGTATCTGTGAGCAGTGATGTTTGTACATTTGTAACCATAAATTCATGGAGAAATATGGTTATGAATGATATTAGCATGGAAGATATGGTGAAACAACATAACCCTTACAGGGTGGGGACTGTTACAGAGAAGATCATAACTGCTCTTGGGTAGTACTTGTGCAGGCCATATCTATTCCTGATCTTGTGCCTTCAGTGTGTTTCTTTGTCTTCCCACTAATCCCAGGCACTCTCGGAGCCATGCGTTTTATCACAGCCATTGATATGACACAACCACAATATGTGGAGTCCTTATCTAGGGAGTTCTGGCTACGTTTTTGGTCACAGGTCAGTGTTTTATGAAGCCAACTTCCTGATCCATTCTGTATCACCCTTCCCATCCCACTTTGTTCAAATGTGGAATTTGAGTAAGAGAAAGGAAATGTCTTTTAATGCAAAGTCATGAAACTTGAAGTCCAGAGCTAAGCTTTTGTTCTTAAATACTGAATCACGTGTTTTATTCTTTTACCAGCGTGAAGATATCAGTCAGCCAGCAAATATATTGGCTGTAAGTGTCTCCTTTTTGTTGGTGCTTCTGCGTCTCAGGTACAGATTCTTACTGGTGCTTGGATCAGTAATAGACATGAAGTCAGCTTAGTCAAATGATCACTTGGAGTCTTGAGAAATTTCAGCTAGAAAAAAAGTGGATTTGATTTCCTAGCAGCTCTGTTTGGAATGATTGGGTGGAGAGTCAGGCTTTGAACGACACACAGACCCACTGCTTGGTGGTCTGTGAGCATCCCCCTATGTTCAGCAAGGCATGAACAAGGTAAGCATCTCGTTTGCTCATGTCCGTCTCCATGCACCCCTGCAGCAAGTACTAGACTTTGGTTCTGGAAATATGGCATTCAGAGGTGGGTGAGGCATCCCAACCCTTTCATCCAAGTCTTTATAGGTGAATTTATTTTACACATCAATTAGAAAAATGAGATGTTGTTTATTTTTACCATATTTATAGATGGTGTATTTATAGATGGTATATTTATAAACCATATTTGTATGGTTCCTCAGTATTTTTCACTTCTTTCTTTACTCAGCAGTAACTTCACATAAATTAGAATGTACAGTCTTTGAATCCTGCCCCAATCCACTTAAATACCCCTTCAGCCCTAAAATGGTGAGGACCAGATACTACATCTCTTTGTAAATGTTGCAGTCTAAACACTGGGGCTACCGAACATACACAGGAATTTGTTCTATTCCAGTGCTACACTTGTCTATTTCCTATTCAAGCAGAGTGAAAAAGAGCTGCTAACCTCCATGGGGAAGTAGGAGAAGGTACAAGAAAATGTGGATGCTAAACAGAAAAGTGATTAAGAGAAAGAAATTAAAACCCATTAACACCTGCATGTGCAGGATTACTGGTCCACGTGCAATACTGTTAGTATTTACATCACTCAGGTAGATGGCAGGAAGTTAACATTCATTTGTGGAATACTTGATTCAAATAGGTACTCATAACTTCAAAGTTACCCAGTAAACATTGAACCTTTACCTTTGGCCACTTTATCTCATTCCTGTGTGGCAGAGGCACAGAGGAGGTTAAAAAGATACAACAAGAACACCAGCAACTGTTTAACCTCTGTGAGTTATGATCTTTTTTCATGCAGTATCACGTGCAGATCCTGTGTAGCCATAAATCTTGTCTCGGCAGGCTTGTACAGTAAGATTTTCAGAAGAACACTTGTTTTTTATTATCTGATAAGTCATCAGATCAGAGGCTAAACTTTTTGTCCCTGTTTGGCAACTCCTGAAAGAAAGTGCAGCTTTGGGCTTGGAAGTTTAGAATAGCCCTTCTGCTTTCTATCTAAGAGTTCATCAATGATGAATGGGTTGGGAACACAGCAAGACAGTTGCACAGGAAGTACTTCAAGGGTATTTTGTAATGTTTCTGATAATAGACCTTGGGTGACAATACTGAAGATTGACCTAACCGGACCATAGTAGGGGTTGGAATATTTAGTATGAGAATACTCTTAATTCTGTCATGTTTTCTCAGGCTGCCAGACAGGCTGGGCTATCTTCAGAACTTGCCCAGAAAACACTTGAAATGATTTCATCCCCTGCAGTGAAGGACCGACTGAAAGAGACAACAGAGGAAGCAATAAAATATGGGGTGAGATGCTTCCAATGCCAGCTGGCATCACAGCTGGGCATTCCTTTCCTATTAAGAATACTGGGAAGCAAGGAACAGTGAAGGTGATGATTAGAAAGCAGTATACAGACCATCTCCTTTAAGTGGTCTTTGTTTTGGTTTTGACCATGTGAAAGCTAACTCACTGTCATTGGTAGTTTTTCTCATTGTCATCTGCAAAACCAAGGTTGAGCCATCCAGCTCATTCCAGCTGGGCAGCAAGGATGGGCAGCTATAGGACCAGCACTAGGAGATACCGTTTATTGCTACTTGACATAAAACTCTGGATTTGCCAGGCTGAGGTTTTTTGGTGGTTGGGTCTTTTTGCTCCTTCAAAAGGGGCACACAGGCTTTGGAGAGTCGTCTTCTTTGTGCTGGCTCCAATTAGGCTCATCTGTCAGAATGACGAAGGTGAAAAGAAGGGGAGGAAAAAAAGTCAGTCATTGCTTTTTATTCCAGAGGCTTGATGATGTACCTGCAAAACTTTCTGTCATTGTAACGTTCTCTGTTTCATCTCCATGGTGTGAATAGGCATTTGGGATGCCTGCTGTTGTGGCACATTTTAATGGGGAACCTCATCTCTTTTTTGGCTCTGATCGTTTAGAGCTGCTAGGCAGCGTTATAGGTGAGTGTACCTAATAACATCAGTTTGGGTTTAATGTTTTCACCCTCTTTGAGTGAAATATGTAATACAGCTAAACAAAACGCTCTTAAGGTCTTTCAAATATTAAATAATGTTGGGTGTCCTTCCCATGGGATGAAACTGCTGACTGGAATGTATCTCAGTACAGTTAAGAGTGACCAAAGATGTAGTCCTTTTCCAAACAAGAAGTCCTCCATCCTCTTCTCTGTACATTTCAAGGCTTTGTGCTCCACATGCCATTGTCAAATTACTACCAAAACTCTTTAATTTTCAGATGTTCATATCTAACTTTTCAGTACTGGGCTAAGATTAAGACTATGGCTGACACTTAATGTTCCTTCTTAATAGAAGAACATTATCACAGCTTCCCAGTCCATAATTTGTAATCACATAACTACAGAGCTTTTTAACAGGTATTCCTATACTGACCATCATTCTTTTCTTTTTTTCTATGCAAACTTTGGGGTTTTAAAGATAACTGGAGTGGGTTGTGATCAATAAAACTCAGTCACCTGCTTTTACGTGAGTTAGAGCACATTTGGCTTTTGATCTCAAAATTTTTCACTTGAAAGGGTTTGTCACTAGAAAGAGTTAAGCATATAAATTAGCTGTGATGTGTTTGGTTTAAGTCATAGGCTTAAACAGAAGGGAAGTTTTTCTATAATCCTATAAAAATACTCTTGTTGAAAAGGAGAGGAAGATGAATACCCAGCACCCTCTGCAATAGTCACTAACCCTAATTGGAATGTTGTGGCCTGGTATCTGGCCTCAACTCCAAGGATTTCAACAGATTTTCCTTTTGTTTCTCTGACTCCCCAGCCTTCCACCCTTATTCTCTTCCTTACCCTCAGCCCCTCAAACCGGGAGTCCCTCATGCAGAGTGCCCCAGACATGCAAAAATCTGTGTGACAGAGGAAAACAGTTCTCCTGTACAGCTTCAGTTGTGACTAGACAGTGACAGATGTATGGAGCTGCCTGAAGCATGCCAGACAGGATACAAATCTGCGTTTCATCAGCAGTAGATACCCTTCAGAAGTGAAGCAGAAACAGTCATCCTAGTGCAGAAAGGTGACTGACCAATCACTTAACATGCATTTAACATTCTCTTTCGTGCTGGTTTGTCTTGCAGGTGAAAAATGGCTGGGACCAGTTCCAAGCCCAAAGATGTGAAAAGTCCTGGGGAAACATATAAGAATGAAAATGTATCTGTACATGGTCAGTCCTCGGTGATTATATGAACGTATCCAATTTTATGGAGAGATGGCTTTCTCATCCTTAACAGCTAACTTTACAGCTAATTCTCTTCTCTGATTATGATGAATTTCAAGGTTTGCCAGTATTGCCAGTCTGGGGAGGTCTTTGCTAATAAAGATGTGCTTATTTTCTTTCAATAGCTTAATGATTAACATTAAAGATTAAACATTTAACTTCTTGGAGATTAAACGTTTTTCTTTCCTGATCAGTTCTCTTTCTCTTACCCCAAAAGCACGAGGATTAAATTGTTATGGGACTGTGATCTCTGGATTTCACATACCTTCCTGCTTGTCCTTTATAAACACACATACACACAGCTTAAGGGAAGTTGGCCACGTTCTCCTTTTATTTTAAGTCTGAGGTACTACATAGACATGAGAAGCACAGGACGAGGTATTCACACTTGCCTTTTACTCTGCAGCATGGCAATTAAGGGGGCAGAAGAGAGAAGAGTGGAAGACAGAGGGACAATTCAAGCCCAGTGAAAAATCTAGGGAACCAGTCAAGTATCTCAGAAGGAACTGTGCACCTCCTGGACGGTATTTTATGTCCCTTGCTCTGTGGTGACTGACATTTGAGAAGACCATCACACAAATGCTTTCTTGGGAACTAACCCCAGACCCTGCAGGGGTTTTAAATTAATGCTCTTTTTACAGTAATATCTTTGGAGGACAGTGGTAAATACCATGTGAATTTAACTGGTAACTGAACCAGACTCTGTTTTGCTTCCTCAAGGGTGGTCTAATTGCTGTCTATGCAAAGGTGGTTTGGATATGGCTATATATGGCTTCCCATCATGTATTCTGCAGAGAGAAAGACAGGCAACAACTAGCATTTAAGAAATTTCACACTAAAATAGTTTGAACCCGGCCCTATATTGGCTGAATTGGAATAATACACTTAAATATTGATTTCTCAGTGATTCCTGGCTGTCTCTGACACACCACTGAAGGAAGCAGAAGAACTAGAAGCAGCTGGAATTCCATTTTTTGTTGCTTTCTGAAATTTAAGTAAAGCACATTCATATTTGTTCACTTAAATAGCAAAGCCTGGAGCAAAGCATCAGAAAAAAAGAAACCTGTATCCTTCATGTTCCTACACCTGTAAGTGTTGTGGTAGTATCATGTGTTCCCCCATCCACAATTTTTCCTTCTTGCACCTCTTTCAGCTCTTGAGGAAATATCCTATCAGTTGAGAACTTCTTCCTCCTTTCCACCAGTGCACCCATTAGTCTTTGGGCAAATCCTGCCTGGAATTTAAGGAGATCTTTGTGAGATACAAGAGGCTACATTGCTTTAGGAGTTAGAATGATAAGGAAGTTACCTAGGTGGATGTCACAGGTTTCTTTGAGTCCCTTGAAGCCACATTGAAGAAATTTACCATTTCCCCCCTCGAAATTTCCTGGTCTCCAACCTGTGCTATCAAACTGATTCTGAGGTTGTAATAAAAATGGAAGGACTGAAACATTACTTTAGGCCAAGTCACCCCACTGGCCCAGGGCCACAGAAGCAATTCTGTCTCAGAAGCGGGTGAAATGTATTTTTATGGAAGTAATGAACTCTGGTAGGAAGGTGGGAAGAATGCAAGGAACATCTTGAAGTCATTTCATGGTGAAAGCCAGGGTTTCATGAAACTTGTCCTTTCAACCAGCTTGACTGAAAAAAAAACCCAGCCTTTGTGACAGAATGTTGTTGATTGGCAGATGGACCAAATGAGATGGATCTTACAGACTACTCTGTATTTAGACCTCATAGCAGTCTTCTAGTATCTGAAGGGGGCCTATAAGGATGCTGGGGAGGGGCTCTTCATTAGGGACTGTAGTGACAGGACAAGGGGTAACGGGTTAAAACTTAAACAGGGGAAGTTTAGATTGGATATAAGGAGGAAATTCTTTACTGTGAGGGTGGTGAGGCACTGGAATGGGTTGCCCAGGGAGGTTGTGAATGCTCCATCCCTGGCAGTGTTCAAGGCCGGGTTGGACGGAGCCTTGGGTGACATGGTTTAGTGTGAGGTGTCCCTGCCCATGGCAGGGGGGTTGGAACTTGAACTTCAGGTCCTTTCCAACCCTAACTATTCTATGATTCTATGATTTCCCAGAATGATTTTAAAGGCCCTTAGACCTACCTGAAATCAGTGGAAAGGAAATGCTCAACGCCATAGGTACTAACATAGTACTTACACAATACTGAGATAGATAGGGAAAATGCAAACTTGGGATTTTCCTTACATTGTTTGTTGCCTGTCCCACTAATGCTAGGCTGAAAGCAAACAAGCAAGCCTAGAGTAGGCAGAAAGTCACAAAATGAGCAAAAGTGGTTGTGTGTGTAATGAAACCACAGGAAGCAGAGGATACGTGCAAAGAAAGCTAGGCTGCATCTGAGCAAAGGAAACCAGACAATGAAAGAAGAGAAGGAAAAGAGATTAAGGCAGAGAGGTGTCTCAACGCAAAATGCTGTCTCTGACAGGGGGCAGGCAACCAAGAAGGGCAGAACTTAGGTGGATTAAACAGGCCAGAGTTGGCTGGCCATGGAAGAGCCTTTGGGGAAGGTTTTCTGTGAAGCTGCATAGTATTTGCTCCGCTCTTTCTGTGAGGTCAGAGGCAGCCCAAGGGCCTGCCTCCATGTTGAACCATGGGCTTGCAGCACTTCTCCATGTCCCATTACCTGTGCTTCTCACCCGGTGTGCACCAACACTGTTCTCCAGCGGTGACCTCACACGCAGCACAAAATGGAAGCCTGCAGAACAAGGCAGTTCTTTAACCTTCCTCTGCAATCATCTTCTTGTCCTTTCAACCCTCAGCAAAGCAAAGCCTCCTAAATCAGGTTTCTCTCCTTTCTCCCATCCTTATCTCTGTGCGAGTGAGAAGGAAATGTTTTATTAAAGCACTTACTGGATTATGGTGATGAGCATCTGCTTTGCTGTCTCTTCCTTTTCCAGTGGAGCCAGCAACACTGCTGGAAGGAAGCAACCTGCTTCCTGGAAGGGAAGCAAGCACAGAACAATAAATAATCAAGAGAGGATCCAGGAGGTGCACACATAGTTAGTTTTACCCAAAACTTCCACAGATCTGTGGATTATGCACATGTAGGAGTGAAAGGAATGTATCTACACCTAACTTGGCTGATGTTACCTTGACCTACTCCTCATTCCAGTTTGCAGCATAAGGAAAATGACTACTTGGCTTTCATATTATTAAAAAGAAAAATAGAAACCATTGGCCACTGGTTTGAGGCCGTGTTTCAGTGCTGTAGTTGTTCTGGCTCTAGCTTCTTGCCTAAATAAGCTGCATCTGATGAGTAATGAAGGCATTCTCCACCTCCAAAATGCTTCCATCAGACCCTATTTTCAATTTATGTAACACAAAAAATAGTTTAAACTAATGCAGCAGGTTCCAGCAGGTGACAGTGTCATGCAGTCAGGCTAAGAAATGCCAATGAACACATCTGTGCCCTTATCCTTTCAAATACACTTCATGAAGCAGAGTCTAATCATTCTGTGTTTCTCCTCCTTCCTTCCTACATTTGATCTCAGGGTTTAAGAAATTTGCCTATCATCAGGTATTAACACCATGGCAAAACCAGGGATGAAATGCTTTGCAAAGTTCACATACGTAAAACATAGTTCTGCTTTCATCTCATGGTCACCATACACATTTCACAAGAAATGAGTATGATGTCTTTTAACGTAACAGCCCTCTTTCTTACACCAGCCTAATTAATCCGTAGGTAACCCTCCATCCTATGCACTAAGGATGGTTTACAATTATTAAATATAATCATTTCATAAACAGTAGAGTTTATGGGATTTAACACATAGTGGTATTGCAACAGTAAATCTGTACTGTAATCTGTACTGTAACTATTAACTGTAACTATCAGAGGAAAACGGAGAGCTCGAATTAAAGAGCTGATGTCAGCGTGGCAGAAGGAGCAGATGAGTTACTTTGCTGCATACCTATACACCGCTCCATCAAGTGGGTTAAGAAAGCTGTAAAATTCAGCTAATGAGGGATTCCTGCAATGAGATGGCAAGCCAAGACGTTCTTCACAGGAACGTTTGTTCTTTTTGACCCATACATGATCATATCAGTATTTGCTAGGGAATGGCTGAGATGCAACAGTGTTTCAGCAGTTTCTCAAAGATGGACTATTCCCTTTCCCAATTTCATGATGCAATTTAAAACTCTGTCATTTAAAAACGAAACTGGTACATCATTGTCATTTGTTGCTAAACAGAGGCTTTAAACAACATGAATTTGCAATACCAGGGTTCTTCTCCATTTTGTATATATCCCAGCTCCAGTACTTTGAGATTTCATTATGATATATGTTTGTAGGCAGTGACTAATAGTCAAAGTAACTTAAAAACACATTTAAAACAACTATGCATATTAACTAAGCCAGAAATGTCTTAAACAAAGTGTTAAGGTGGGTGATAGCTGAATTTATACCCTGGCCTTGAGGCTAGGGGAAATGTCACCTCTGCCTCACGTGGTACACGGTGGCACATGAGACATGTTGGTGCTTTAAAGCAACTCAGAAGACTGCAGTTTTGGCAGCAGGAGTTCTCTATGTCTTTATCTAGCACTTTTCTACTGGAGAGTACATTGAGTCAGCAGCTCTTTCCCTAGGTGGCAAGCTGGGAGCTCAGAGCGGGCTGGGACCTGTGCTCTCAACCTCACCCTTGGATCTCAATCTGAACTTTCATAGCTCAGCTACAGCTCTAGGATGCAGTGGGATTTTCTTTTTAACAAAGAATGCAGGAAGAAAACTGTCGAACAAGTGTGTAGAGGGGCAAAAGGAGAGAGAACAGCAACCGATATAATAGAAGTTTATAGTGGATCAGTTCCACCTGGCCTTACATGACACCAGTAGATGGGAGTAGTAAATGGATTTGTGAAAAGATCACACATGGATTAAACTATGGGCCATGGCAGGGCAGGCATACAGCACTGTTAAAAGCAGCACTGCATTATGTCTGACTGGGAGTGCTCTTGGAAAAACTGGAGGGCAAGGGGAATTGCAGTTACCCAAAAGGTCAAAAGGAATGTGAAATCTTTTACTTGATGACAGTAGACTGAAGCAGAACAAATCAGTTTGCTTTTACACTTATTTTCTGCTCCCGTTAATATTTCTCACCGCAAGTAAACACAACCTATTAGTTCACTTTTGATGGGGAACTATCACACCTGCCACTAAGACTACAGGAGTGAATATAGCTCAGATGTTTGTGAGGGGGGCTGTGGCCTGCTCAGGGTAGTGGAAATGGCAGGCTGCACAGTGCCATGGTGATACAGTGAAAATCCCCATGCCACCAGGCACAAAGTAGATATTGCCTTTATGGTGCCATTTTCAGATCCCTTCAAAGAGACACAGTTTCATCGTGTTGGACCTCCTGACTTTATAGTAGTTATTTATCACTCTGAGCTGAGGACACTAAACTTGAAAGCCTTGAAGCTCATTCCCAGCTTCTGCCTCTTAATAGCAGCTCATTAGCTCTCTCCTGCTGTGAAGGTTCCCTACATGCTCCTTTTCCATATCACCACGTTTAACACCATTATGTCTCTCCCTCAGGACAGGCAGGCTCTGCATATAGCACACCAGTTCCTAATTCTAGCATCCTGCATGGCTCTCTTCTTCCTCTGCATCATCAGTAACTCCATTTGTTTATCCTTCCAGTTTTGATTATCATCTTTTTGGGTTCTCTTGTGTACCTCAGCAATCATGCTGTGAGTGGAAAAAGAACACAGGTCTCTGCAGAACATCTCACAGTAGCAGTTCCGTTGCCGTTGCTAAGATATAGGCGATTTTAAGTAGGGATCTAATGTCTGCTCTTGGTATCTCATACAGGGCTGCTGCAGAGATTGAGAGACCTAACTCTGCCTTCAAAGGAAACTGGCTCTGCTTTCTGACCCTTGTAACCTTTCTCAACAATCTGTTTTCACATAATTCCTATCAAGATTTCACTGTTCCTTCCAACCAAGTCTCTTCCTTGCCCTCTACATAATCCCTAGTATCTCTTAACCATCTACATAATCCCTAGTATCTCTTACCATCTCAACCCGCTCTTATTCCAGAATCCTTCACCAAGAAACACTGAGTTCTGCCTTCCACAGCTCCTAATGGCTTCTCAATCTCAGAAAAGCTTAGTCATTTCAATCGTACTTTCCCAGAATCTTGCACAGTCCCTTCAGCCTAATTCTCAGAAACAGACTGAAACTGATTTTAATTTTCCATCGCTTTAGCTTTAGGCTGATGCTCAACAAGAAATGCTTCAATCCAAACCAGTTCATTTTAACAAAGTGAAACAACTGCGAACAGGGTCTGAGATCAGGGCAGATGAAACAACCTCAACAACAGATACTGCAGTAGTTCTGCCTGCCGTAGGACTAAAGAGAACTTGTAATGGCTGTAACCATCTCTGCACTGTGAATGAATCCCAGCTGACTTTAATCAACTACAAAATTTAATCAAGTACTACATTAAGAGCCCAGCTTCAGCAGTCAAATTGCTCAGTGTAGGTTAGCTACCTGATTACCCACTTTCTCAGAAGCACAGTGCTTTGTTCAGGAAGTACTGTTTCTGTAATTCCCATATCTAAACAATCTGGTTTATAGAGACGTGGGCACTGCATTCAGAAAAGCAACCACTGAAATACATGCTCTCCATAGCAACACGAACACATTAATTATTTGCAATTTACTCTACCTTCTTCTACAGTATGTACAGCACTATTTACTCATGCTACTGAAACTCCTGTTCTCTCCCCATTAAAGTTTACATGCTGTCTTCTCTCCCCATTACTAGTGCCTATCATTTACCTATGCTTCTCAGATCTTAAGTATAGCATACAAAAGACATGGCTCGACCTCTCCTGTGCCTCCAGAAGCTCAAGTAGAGGATTTTTCCTTTTTTCTTTCTTTTTTACCTGGTGAGCTGGAAGTACTGGGTGTGCAGTCACTGTCATCCAGCCATACGCTGTGAACCACTGAATCCTGTTTTGGAGGGCCCTCAAGAGAGCACATCAGCTCCTGGAGAGGGCAAAGAAGATGTATTTTGACAATGCACTTGGTAAAATCAGGGAGGGTAGCCTCTGTTTGTTAGAGATCATACACCCACCCTGTCATTCTCCTCTTCCTCAGATGTTTCATTTTCTCTCAAACCACTACAACAACTGCTTACACTGGATGAAGAACGTGACAACGGCTGCATCACACAGTATCCCGAAGTCTGACTCCTGAGCATTCTGTGAAATGCAAGCATTCAACATCATCATGTTTATTGTTACACACAGGCTTGCACTTCTTGTGACATATTTTATTATACAGCAGTCAGAAACAGAAGAAATTCTCCATCCACAGCTAGGTTTTCCACCAAGGAAGAGAATTCAGATCAACTGGCTTGCATTCCTTCATTTCTAGAGGTTACTTCATTTAGTAGAAACACCACTTCTTACTTCCATTCTGGATAATTGTATCACCTAAAAGTCTTAATGCAGAGTTGAACCACCTGAATTTAAGCACTGTTTACCTGTAGACATTCACTGAAGTCAACACATGCCTTCATTTTGGAGAGCAGAGATTTTAGGAGCCTAAATAAAACATGATGAGGTGTTAAACTGAGTATAAAGGGAAGGTGCTACTCAGCCTAAGGCCACCCATTCCCACAGCCACTCTCAGCCCATCATATCTGGTCTTAAGTGAAATTCCAGACAGTACAAAGGGACTATAAAGGCATATTTTTCATGTCATGGAGCTTATAAACTGTTACCACTGTGTTTCTGGACACTGAGGTAGTCTGGTGCATGTTTCGTATCTGCCAAGAAAGACCCTTAAGGTCAGCTTCTCACAGCTCAGAATTTGGGATCCACTGCTTATAGTCATCTTGGAGAAAGAGCAGTCCATGAGGCTGATATGCTTACATAGTGGAAGGTGCACTGTGCATGTAAGCCTGGCATTTGTGACAAAATATTCACTGCCTGCACAAGAGACCAGCTAATAAGAGAGAGATGAAGGGCTCAAAAATGTTAAGAAACCCCAAAAAGCTAAAAGAAGCAAGAAAGATAAGACACCTTTAACATACTAAATATATTTATTCCTTCAGAAACACTGCAAAATATGGCCAGTCTGACCTACAAGCAGTAATGAAACCTAAAGTCCCAGGCATATTACATGCCAGCATGCAACAGGGAGAACAGTAAAGATTGGGCCAATATAGGCCAAGATGTTTCCTCAGGAGATTAGGAAACATATCTTGGAGGAAATGCAGACCAACATGCTTCTCCCTTGGCAGAACAAATCAATAACATGAATTTAAATGAACTGGGACTTAGATTTCCACAAAGTATCTCCTTATCAGCATCCTTCCTCAGCAGGTTTCTCCATCCTCGTTCTCTGCACTGCACTTCCTGACCTATGTCATCGAAAAGCACTAGAGACAGATGGAAACACGTTCTTCTCCTCTTGCCTTCTGTGGGCCAAGCTGTTCTGTTCTCACTCATGTGAGGGGAGGGGAACAGAAGGGGAGGCACTCAAGGTGGCCTCCTTTCCCCACCATTAGTAGAGCCTGGTTGGGCAATAGGAAGGGCATAGAGCCAAAATGCTCCAATAGGAGCTATCTGTCCATCTCCCTTTCCCAGGATTCCTGCTCCAGGAACTGCCAGTGGAGCGTTACTTGATGCCACTTGGTCTCTCCACAGTCCTTGAGGTCCTCTAAGTAAGTTCATGCTCCTCTTAGCCCGGACTCTCATTTCACCCCAAAAGTCTTGCCAGTATCTTCAGTGAGGCAATCAATGACTGAGTAGCATCCGGTCCACTCCTGATTGGCTTGATGTCCCCACTCAGATGTGTCTGAGGAGGGAAAACACACACACAAAAAAACCCATGTACTTTTCCTAGGACATGAACATACACAGTACAGTGCTTGAGTTTTGAGATGCAACCCTAAAAGCCATCTGCTCCTGAGGAGTTTTGCTACCTGGTTACATAGGCTGGGCTCATTCTTTTGAGTCTGTCCATGGGAAAAAAAAAAAGATTATTTGGAAAGCTATGTGAACAGGAGAGCAGAAAACCTAAGGACACTTGTCCCTGCGTGTAGGAGAGAAGACACTGTTAGCCCAAGTGAATGATTAGGGTTCATGGATTCTGGGCTGATCGCTGCAGAAGGGTGTGTTGAAAACCAGCATGCAAGAACAGGAAAAGTAAATGCTGGTTTGTCTCTACTATAAAGGATAAATCTATTATTTATGTGTTCCCCTTGCATTTATTTCCAAGTTGTTTTTAGAACATAGATGAAGAGTTTGATCATTCAAGTCTGGAATTTGTTACTTAAGTTTAGCAGCGAGATGCTGGGTGCTTTTGCGATAGAGGAATCTCCAGTGATGCTACCCCCTGGAGAGAACCATTAGAAATATGCCTATATCATGATCCTGATTTGCAGTTCCACAACTAATGACCAATAGACTAATCCAGTAAAACTTCAGTAGAACTTCTGTCTCTAAGACAGACTGTTAGAATTACACTCCATGCTTGCTCCTGCAATACTGTGCTAATGCCCTCTTGGTGAAAATGGTGTGCTTTACACGGTGGAATTACATGTTCTTGATTCCTTATTCCAGATACGATGCAGAAGGGCTGGTCCCTAGCTCTGAAATCACAACTCTAACTCTGGCTAATCACCAGTTGTGCAGAACTCCATGCTACATCCAACCTCATGAACAAACTGTCCAGGAATGGGCTAAACTACCACACCTGTGAAAGGATTTTTTTCTGGTGATTGTACAAGTGGGTTTGAGTCCACTACTGGAAAAAGATGCATAGAGAGAATCCTGGAGACAGAAGCAGACAGAGTGCTAAGTCATGCAGGTCATGCCTCGTGTGCATGAACAATATTTATGCAAGTATTGTTACTGAAATCCCATGCTATGTTTGCTTTCTGAAAGCATGTGATACCAATCTGAAACAGCCACTGCAGCGGGCTCACCTCCACAGCTGACAAATGGAGAATGGGGCTTTGGGAAGCGGGGGAAGCCCATAACCAAGTGCAGAAATCAGGGACTGATGTCAAGAAAGCTTCATCCTTTTTTTCCAGGACACGTTCTACTGAGGGTAACCAGCACCAGCCAAGCTGAGATGTTTTCTTACTAGGCAGAATCCTTGCTGATTATGCAAGGTTACTTCAGCTACTTAATTAGAGCAAGAGTCCCTCACACATGCCTAGCCAGGAGCTTCTAGTTCACTAACAAGGTCCAGGTAATGCTGGAAGATGGAGGTTGCTGACCAGTCAGCAGTTCCACATCCTGCATCCTCTCTTGTCCTTGGCTGTCAGAGCTAGCATCTGAAATGGTCTGTTATCTCCTAGCTGTGCTCTCATCTTCCTCCACACCAAAATTTTGGACACTCACACAACCTAGAAACTAGTATCACAAAAACATACTTACCAGAACTCTGCATCTGGGCTGTGATAAAATTCTGGGCAGTCCTACAGCATACAACTGGGTAGCTGAACTACTGCAAACAGTCACCAGGCTGTAATTCTTAGGGAACATTGGGTCTAGTTGGAAGGAAGGCACTTCCTTGCCAGACTTGGCACATGAAGCAACTACAACAATCCAGGCCTGGTTGTAGGGCACCTTCTGAAATCTTCTTAGAGCAGCCCCAGTCCTGAGAAAGGGACATGCCCCACTACAAAGTACTCGGTGCCCTTTTTGCCACAGGTCTCATCCAAATTCTCATGACAAAAATCAGGTGTGGGCAGGCTGTTCCAGAAAGTCAGCTGCAGTCGTGGGTTTAAAAGACAGACTGCTCCGGTGTCTTGGAAATAGAAATGTGTGGTTTCCATGAAGTTCTGAAGGATCCTGGATAGGATCACAGCCCAGCATAATACAGCTTAGCAACAGCAAAGCTGCACTGTCAAGAAAGTGCATTTCTCCAGTTTTTGACCACCAGAAGCTGGAGAACTCTTCTGCAGACTACTGCATGTAGTGTTTTGCAGAACACTGGCTGTGGTGTGGCATGCTTTACCACTGAAACATACACATGAGACCCTGCTTTAATACTTTGGGACGACTGAAGACACCTAGTTCACACTGGTTGGGAGTAGCAGCATACATATTGCTTAGAGGGGCAGAACTTGGGTACAACCCAACATACCCTTGTCCAAGCTTCTCCATTAAGCTCCAAAATCACTCCAGAGCAAACTATAGAGGAAACATATACATGAGTAAGCATGGATAACTGGACAGCTAGGGATTTGTGTATCCTGTTGGATGCAAGCTAATATTACAGTAAAGATATAGCCAAAATCACCTTTAAGTGGTCCAATCATTCTTCACTGGCTGTTTAAAAAAGCTCAGTTCCTTACTTACATGCTCTGAATTACTGTGCCATGGCCAGAAGACATCTAACTTTTAAGATGCTGAAATGCCTGATGTGCATAATGTCAGGAAAACCTCCAACAGAGCAAGACATGCACCACCACACTTCAGCCAGTACCAAACACAGTGAGCAACTTCCAAATACTAACATCATTTTCAACTCACTTGTTCTTCCTGTTGGGGAACTCTGGGGAGCTGGGACTGGATGATCCATCAGACTTCAGGTCAAAGAACGTCCCTGGACTGTCCAGCATCTTCTGTATCCTCTCTGCAGTGTCTCTGCTGGGACAAAAAGAGAAACCAGCTATAGCCCAGGGATAGAATTAACCACTGTCTATTCTAACACTTCCTTACAAGCCACTTCCTTACAAGCTAGATCTCTTGTATACACAAGAAAGGGAAGCAAATGCAGTTGTGTTGAAAAGAACAGACTCCTTAGATGTCACCTGTTGAGGGCAATATATTAGAAATCACCAACTTTACACTCCTTATGGATTGATATAAAAGCATAAAATAATTCCAGTATTCTCCTTAAATTCTTCAACATTTTCTTCTACCCCTCCTCATTTTCCCATTTCGTTGATTTTAAGCTTTATGATTTATTAGAGCTTATTTATTGCATAGAATATATTCATATTAGTAATATATATTTCTATTTATATAATATAATGTATATATTTATAATGCATAATATATACTATATATTTCTTGCATAAAAGAGGATTCAGCAAATTTCCTTGTTTCAGGATGGTTCCATTCGTTTGATTGCTACTAGTACTGGTAAAGACACTTCTGCAGGAAGCTGTCTGTGTGAGTAACTGACAAGTGGGGTATGTTTAATAAAGGATAGGAAAACTCAGGATTTCGCTGGGGGTTTTTTTGTGGCTTCAGTGGTGGAGTTCACAGAGTTCCTCTTCTGCTCTCTTGGCCAGTTGATCCTACCTGTACCCCTTCACATCACAGCTCCTCATGCCCTCAGCTGTGTTCATACAAATGTTTGTGGGGCTGGAAATTATCCTGGCAAAGAAGAATCCTGAAACTGAAACAACCCTGAAACTTGTATGACACAGGAAGGAGTGGGATGCAGCGGGTCAGCTCTGTCATCAGAGCCTGTGTATCATAAAGCTTCAGGGTGAAGTCCCACAGGACGTGTTGAGGTCACTGTTCTTAGAGAGCGAGACCGCTCCAGCTTCGTTCACTCTTGCTGAGTGTACTTCTCATCTGCCCTGGTACCCATCAGGCTTCTCTGTGAGCCAGTTCATGGCAGAACCTGGCAGCCAATTAATCCAATAAAAGAAAGTTGGTACTTTTTCTGTTAGATTAATGGGCTGAATCAGTTCCATGAAGGGTCCACTAAGCATCTGAGCCATCACAAGGAACAGGACAGGATGGGATAGCTGAAAGAGAAACCAGGAGAGGGAAAGTACGGTATCTGCTTTTCAGTAGCAATGAACTTAGACCAGTTGGTAGTGAAACTGCACCTTCAAGAATTACCCAAAAAGGCTTCCACAGACACAAGATAAGGCTCACTGTGCCTCATACCTAAGATTACAAATAAGCAAAAGGAAAGCTAAAGAAACCAAACTCCCTCCTAGCAAAGAGCAAGGAGGATTAAAAAAAAAAAAAAAAAAAAAGGAAAAATCCAGGATTTTTCCTTGCTGTAGAAAATCTTTTACAGATCTTTAAAGGGAACAGTGAAGGATGTTGCATGGAAAGTAACGGATTGGGGGGCACAGCTGCATAAGGTACAGAACTATTTAATGTAGTCAGGAGCTGTAGTTACCGTGTTGGCTGAGACTGTTACAGGGAATTTGGCTCAGATTTCATTTTTCTCTAGGAAAGTTCTATAGTATTTTTATTCAGATTAGGTCATAGGCAAATTAGGTCCAACTGGAAAGAAGGGAAATAGGGATAGTAATTATCCCTATTGTGAAATCACTGGTTTCCACATAGAAGATGGCTTTTCCCTTTTTACACTGAGTCATTAAACTGTTCCCTGGAATTCTTGCAACTGGGAAAACTGTATAATAGATGCACAACGCTCCTGTGACTTTTAAGACTTCATAATCTTAAAAAGGTGTCTCAGCTAGAGCTGAGGCAAATTTATCCATTTACATAAATAATCTCTCATCACCAACAGACAACTTCTGAATGGTTGTAATCTGTCAAATATGCCATGTCATGCCTTGAATCCATATGTTACCTCTTCATTATAATCATTTCTAAGCCCACCTAACTTAAAACACTAACCATTTTGACTTACAGCATTTTTAATTTAATCCCTTTAAGATATTGGCAGTTTTGCCTACTTGAACTTTTTAACATGAAAACACACACACACATCCCCAATTTCCCCTTCCAAAGTGAAAGCTTTTCATCTGACTCTTAGCTAAGGTGGCGAATACAGAACCGGAGAACCAGGAGTCCTGGATCATACTGCACAATATTCAAGAGCAGTCTTACTATGTTCCTCCACCCATCTCCTCCCTTCTTCCTCAAATATTGATACTCTCCACTTCCACACCTCCTTTTTTATTTTGTCTGTTTCTGTCATTTGTCCATTTCTCCATTAGTAAACAATCAGGCTTTTCTTCCCATTCCAACCATTTCCATTTCAGTTCTCACTCCTGTTGATTCCCTTCTGTCCTTACATGTGCCTTTCTATCTTCCTTTTCCCATCTCCTCCTGCTTTCTTTTCTCTGTCTTATCTTCCCACAGCTCGTACCTCTTTTCCTCCTGTATGTTCTCAATGCCAATAGCACTACTCCGTCGCCCATGGAAGCGGCTGGCTCGAGTACGTGATGGGCTCCTACCAGGCAAGGCAAAGGACTACAAAAAAGGAAAGTGTGACAGAAAGGAGGGGAACAAGACAGGAAGAATTGTGGAGAACTCGAAGCACGGGATAGGGAGTTTGCAACATGGATTCAGATTCTCTCCTTTACTCTGAAATACAGTAGCACAGCCCAGCTCCATCAGTGCAAGGAGCACTCTGTCAGTGAGAAAGAGAAGCTAGGCTTATAAAGGTAGTATGAAAAAGAGACAGAGGCATAGGAACAAAGGCAGAACAAGATACACAGCCACTATATAGAGAGAGACTCAGGAAGAAAGATATCCCATACGATGAGAGAAGGAGAAGGTAAGAAAACTACAAGTTAAAAGGAGAGGAGGTGGCAGCAAACCCAAGTTGTTGCTATTCTGTGACTTTGTTGTGTTGACATACAGAATTCATGCAACCAACCAAACTCTCACCAAGGAATTCCCACATTGAAAGGCATCTTCCTGGCTTACACAGAGGTGTTTTGTTGTTTGCCTGTATTGACATCATTAGTGCAGAGACCACAGTCAATTGGATGGATTTTGACCAATATCAGAAACACGTATCCTTTCCTGGAAATGTTTGTCATGGATTTATCATGCTTACACTGATCAAGGATGTTTAGTATCCCCATCAAATAAGAAAGCCTTTGATGATGACTGGAAATAGTCACTCTTTATCACCCCAAGTTTTTATTAATTTGCTGCTTGCTCCCAACATGCAAGTTCTATTTACAGCAAAATAATAGCACCTTGAATAAACATTGTGCACCTGCTTTATCCTACAGAAAATAATCTGACTGGTGAAATTGAAGCAAATGGAACACATCTAGTGTCCTTACGTTCTGAGCTCTTGCCACATGACAATACAATACCACTGCGGTCAAACCACTCTGCACACATTCTTTTAAGGTATGGCAATGTACAGGATATAATCCGGGATAACAGAGATAGATGTCTGATGTAGAATCATGTTTGGCTTTTCCCCCCCCACTCTGCAACGTCAGCTCTAGTTTACAGCTGAACTGTGGCTAGAGATAGCACAGCTAAAACAGACTGCAAAGCGTGCTGTCACCACTTGTGAAACAGGATGATACAAGAGATTCACAGAAGGACAAGAGGACAAACTAATAGGAAAAGAGAAACAAAACCTATGGATGGGTCACAAAGGTTTCTCCTGACAGTCCACCCGAATACCTTACCGCAGCAACAGCCTTAGGGCCCTCGGCGACACTCTGGCTGAGGGCAAGGCCAGCTGGCATTGGGCGGCTGGGCAGGGTAGCTGGCTGCTGCTTTCTCATGGATATTCCCATGGTATCCAGGCTCTGGCTGCGGCCTCTGATCACCCGCTGAACAGGAGGGAGGCAGGGAAACAGACAAACACAGATACACATATAGACATGCACACGGTAGGGTAGCATGAAAATAAAGCACAACAGATTGGGTGGAAAGTTGTCACAGACCAACACCAGAACCACAGAAATCCTAATTCCTAGAAGGAAGAATCTTAGATATTACCCACTTTTGGTCGTAGGCAATTCACTGCCAGGGAAGAACTCTTCCTCAAGTATTTCTCTACTTTTACTTCCCTTGTCCTGTTGCAATAGATTCCCTACTACTATCCCAGCATACTGGATAGACCAGCATAATCTGTACAAGTCCCACACACTACAGGCTACAAAATCATACTGTTCAAGACTGCAAGGTTCAGTCTTGCACGAGCTTGAGTGCTGGTTCCAAGGGGAAAGCAGCCATATCAAAATTGGCAGCATTTGAAAAAGCCATTTTCTAAGTTTACTCAGCCTTTTACAACCTTTTCCAAATGTCTACATGACATGCAAGTCACAACATCTGCTAGAAGTCAGAAAAAGGCCATTTTGGGATAATTAGTGTAAGACATAGATGGGTATGAAATTCCTGGTTAGCAACAAAGACAGGATAGGCAGATTGCATGTAAGAATACACCTCAGTAAAGCATTCCAGCTCTGACCAAAGCTATGCATATAGCTACCAAACCTATACCTGAATGGATTAGTTTCACAGCCCTTAACAATTCTAACCAGCCCCCTATACGAAGCAGGTGGAGGTCATCTTAAGAAATGCTATTTATAACACATCTCTCTATCAGACAGATAACCTATTATACAAATGAAGTGTTGAGGCATTACCCACAGAAGTGGAAAGGGGAAGTAGATAGAAAAGTAATATAACATTCTCTCAATATAATCGGTTCAAAACTCAGGTTTGCCTATTCACATGGAAACTTTGCTTCCTGACGTCATCTTGATCACTTTTAAAAGTGAGTTCTGTCACTTGATCCTGACATCACAAAAAAAAGCATCATCTACACTGAACAAAGGCAAATTAACTCTGGCTTTTACAGGGCAAGTAAAGCATCATAGTGTTTGTGCGCAGTGCCTGAGCAGATATGTTAGAAACTCTCTTGCAGTGGCTCTTGCAACTCTTTCAGATACAGTGAGAATGAACTGGAAGAGATCTGCTGGAGGAACTGAAAGCTGCTTGCTACTAGTTATTACAGCTCCTCTTGCAAACACGCCTTCTGTAGCTATAGAGTGAAACCCCATCTGACACCAGCATGAAGTACAAAGACTCCTGAGGGACAGCATGGAATTCCACCCCGGACCACACTGCAGCTCTGCAGGAAGGTACATAGAAAGGGGAAAATGTCTCTTCTTGAGAGACATGGTAAAGCACAGCTGAAGATGCTCTCACGAAAGTATGGAAAGACTTAAGCACAGCTGCTCAGCAGGGTCAGTATTCCTTGGAGGGATACCCAATGAACTTGAGAAAAGTGTGAGCAACTGGGTAACGAATCAATCCACTACGGCTCACCTTGAAATTCTCAAGGAAGCCCCCACTGCCATTCTCTATCTTGTCATCCTCCCCTACGGGTAATCCCATCATACTGCGGCTGCGAAGCTGTAGCTCCTCAAAAAGGCTCTCCAAGAGGGCACTCCGGGTTCTTTCCTGCATCAATATCAGGAATGAAAACACAGTTATTATTTGGAGCAGAGGGATTTTTTTTTTCCTCTCTGTTTTGGCAATGTCTCACATATTCCTTGATACATAAATAAATCAATCAATCATCACAAAAATTACTTTGAATGGTATGAAGTGCCTTTAGCTGTATCGGCATGGAATATATTACAGTAACACCCAGTCCTCTTAAGGTCTCTCTAAAGCAAGTCATAAAAGACATCAGTATCTTTTACAAGTGATGTAACAGAGGCATGTATTTTTTTGATCAGGCAAGCAGCAGAGCTTGGAACAGGATTTTGGTTCCTTGAACCAAAAATCAGTAATATCAATACAAAACCTGAAGCACAATACTCAGTTTCAGCTAATACAGGATTTCCTCCAGCAAAACGAAGGAAATGCATCATATTCCCATTCTGACTTGAGGATTAGATCTTTACATTAGAATGCACCTGTGCATATTCTATCACACCTGCTGTGAAATATAAAGGAAGCATCACACAGCCGATTATAATCCCATTTCATCATCCTTTTTCAAGCAATACAATATTAGAAGGAAGTAAAAAAATTGCACTGTATTCTCTTAATGTATCAGAAATGCAGTTTTATAACTTCTAATGGGAGCAAGCAGGCAATAGACCCACCTCTAATTTAGCAAATTTCTCAGCTCGATAGCAGCTGTACTCAGCATTGATGAGCTTGACCAGGAGAAACTCACGGAATTCTGCACTCTACAAGTCAAGACGAAGACTAGACTGGAGATGAAAACAGTAGTAAAAATAGCACACTCCACCTTACTACTCTTTAGACCTCCAAGACCCTTAGCCAGACTGACAATACTGACTCAAAACACATGGGTGTGTACCACATCCCCCTGCCATCAACAGTGGACCAGAGAAACAAACCTTTCTGAATATGGCTGGATTTGGCAGAGGGGGTCCAAAGAAGGGGACATCATCTCGGGCTGTGACTGAAACCTGAAACAATATAAGGGGAAAAAAATAAGTACTGTAACACAAGTGAGACTACCAAAGCCTTCAAACTACTGTGGTACATCCAATCCCTCCTGAACATCTACATAGTTGAAAGAGATCTAACGTGCTACTCTGTGCACCCATCTATTTCTGAACTCAGTGAACGGATGTGCTGGTTTATCTCCCAGAAATTCAGTCAGCTGGATGTGCACACATTAAGAGCAACAAAAAACAATTGAAATAATTGTTTTTTTTTAAACAGTATTTTCAGTAAATATTTTTAATAATAACCAGTGTATTTAGAACAACAACAACAAGATGCTTCTATTCAGCCTGCAATATTTACCTCCACGAGAAGACCCTTTGCCAATATGGTTGTACCGTATTGTATGTACCAATATGTATGGGTTTTTTTTGACAGAGAATCCTCAGTGGAGATACACTGCACACAGAGGGGAGTATCTGTGACACCATCTCTCAGAGACACGTGTGATGGAACAATACCATTATTTGTCATTTCATACAACAGGGAACAACATCATAACAACAGCGACTGCTTCAAAAGAACACCTCAGTGTAAATGTCACAGAGGCCATGAGAGGCACGAGTTTAATAAGAGAAAGAAGGAAAGGGGCCCCCAATTTAATTCACATTTCTCACATTGTATGCCAGCTCCCCTACTTACAAGGCCCCCCTCTCCCTAGCTAGCTACCTCCAATAACTACAAGGCCGCCCAATAGCTATCTATTACTTAAAATCCTGCTGTGCATTTTTCGTTTGCTGACTGCAAAAGTTGATTCAAAGAAATAAATGCCATTAATATTCCAATTTAACATCTAGGCACTAAAGCTTAAGTTAAGGCGAAATGAATAGGAAAAGACATTCCCAAACTGCAGGCTCTTAGGCACTTGAACACTCTCCAGGCAGGGTAAGTTAACACCCCTTTGGAAAAACCTTACAGAACACTCTACATTGGCTCCAGTGTCGACTGGGACTGTTTTCCCTGCCCATGGCGGGGGGTTGAAACTAGATGATCTTTATGGTCCATTCCAACCCAAACTAATGTATGATTCTATGGTCCTATTTGTTTTTCATTAAAAGGTACAAACAACCCTACTACACTAACAAAAACACCACTGCAGACAGGCAAAGATGAAAACAGGAGTAGTAGAAAGAGACAAGACAAATACCAAGCTTCCCCAGCTCTTTCTCTTGTCATGAAAAAAAATCCAGCAAATTTCTGTGCCCTACAAAATAGAGGACAAGAGGGGAACTGGAACACCATGCCTCTGATCAACATGAGGCTATCTTTTAACTACAGACCTGGCTGCCCATAGCATAGGGTACAATGGAAGGTGGCTGTTCCATCCCCAGCACCCTATTTGGTGGGAGTGGAGATGGGGAACCTGTCCTAATTTTGATATTCTTGGTGTTCTTGTAGACCTCCATGGTATAAGGACTCATCATCACCACATCAGAATTCCTCCATAACATGAGACATAGCACTTTGATTAAAATGGTTCTACAATGGAAAATCCATCACAGAATGAAAGCTTCCATATATTTTTCTGCTGTCTCAGCATGACAAAGTTGAACATTAAGGCATCCATACAGGGTCATGTGACAGAAAGAGCTGTGTCCAAAGGCTGCAGATAGGGAATTCATGTTCTGCTAGGGCTTCTTCCAACTGGAGGGCCCTAACAGGTAGCACTTTCCTGCCAGATGAGCATCAGTTCTGGGATCCCCCAAAGCACGTGTAGCTGGCTCGGATTAGGCCAACCAGCTGTACCTGGTGTACAGTCCCAGGCAGTGCATGATCTCAAGCACTGTGCTGTGCACATGAGCAATGCAGGCATGGCCATCAGTCAGGTGAATGAGCTTTATGTGACTTACACAGTACAAGCAAGACATCTCCCAGAATAGGATCAATTGTACCCCATGCTCTTTGATGTAAGCAGAATTTTTAATTTTAACTTGTCCTGCTTCAATTCCCAAGCTTTAAGCTTCAGAAATTCATCAACTACTTTGAAAAATATAACTACATTCAAGGTTTCATGTATAGATACTTAACAAATTAGGATGACAGCTGGCTGAACCTATACCTCTCCCAAAGGCCCAAGAACACCTTTTCATTTCAAGCATCGGTATCAGTAAATCAGTACCAAGGAACCTATTGGCTCTGTTTACCTTGTAGAGAGTGTCCCCAGTGGTGCCATGAGTGAGCTGAACTACCACATAAGCATGTAGGAAATTAGAAGCAATCATATCAGGGACAAAAGGTGTGCTTTCATCCTGGAAGATGATGGCTACAATGTCATTCCCAATGTGACGCTTCCGCTGAAGCTGGAGAGGAAAAATGATAAAGCAAGAAAGCAAGTGAAAATGAGCAGAACAGTATAACAGAGCCTCAAACATGAGTTGTGTAGCATCTCTAACCCATGTGTTGAACCAAATTCCTCATCACTACTTTTACCATTACCCCAGCAGTAACTCCCAATTATGCAGTTGAGCATTCTCCCCTCTATGCAGTCTCTCACCAAATACCCCTCCTCTCTTAGCCTCACTGTTGTATTTCTCAGTTCTCCCTTGAGTACCTGCTGGGAATCTCCCTCTGTGAAGGGCAGCTTCGTAGATACATGAAACATGATCTCCTTGCCCCGGAAGTTTGTATAGACTGACTCAGTGCCTGTCTGACCTCTGGTAACATCCAGGCCTCCCCGGAACCTGAGCAAATCCATACCGTGCCATCAGTCAGGCATTAGGACAGAGATCAGAAAGTGGAGAGAAGAAAGACGGTATCAATAACAGTAGCTGGTACATCAATATTATCAAAGGTGTATATTAAGAAATCAGTGATAGTGAAGGCAATACATCTTCCCAAAACAAACGCACTGATTGAACCTGCACAGTATTTCAGCTGATGAGCATACGTGCTTGCTAAAAGTCATGAAGTTAAACCAGGGATCCTCAAAGGAGCTCCTTTCTTTTACAGTCTTCTGAGAAATACAATCCATATTTTAGAAATACAGGAAGGATGAACCACCCCACAGAGAGACTAAATCAATACTGACCCATACCATTGTGAAACAAACTTACCTTTGCATAGCCCAGTCAAATTATTCTTTGCTGATATTGTGGGTCAGATTAAGATACAATGAGACCTTTAAATGAAAATACCACCACAGACCTAAGCTCCAACTTGCTCCCAGACAGGATTACTGACAAAAGCATTCTGGGCTTCTCCACCTGCACCGGGATTCAGAGGACACCTCACTTAACAGAGTCACGGCCTCTGAACACACAGTATTCCTTAACCCAATTTGGCTTCCTAACTGCGCTGGGTACGCACCCACGGAAATCCTGCAGCTGAATCTTGTCACCAAGGAAATCCAGGAACTCCAGGAAACCCAAACTCTCTTCTGTGTTACTGAAGACTTCTTCTTCTGTCGTCTTCAAAAGACAATGGAGAAGTCGTGAGGATCACAAGCAATACAAAAAAAACAGTCAGCAATTTCTATATGCAGTTCAATCAGTTTTGAGGACCTGGACAAACAAATCAATCAACTTGATGGATGAAGCTTCCATCCTCTCTCTTTACAGCATGTGCATTTTTCACAGCATAACACAGACTTTCTTATTACACTTAAGCTGAGAGAACTGACTCTTTCTGTTTTGCCTCAATTATCATGGGATCTAAGGGAGCTTACCTGTCCAGGTTTCTGGTAGATGACCCCAAATTTGAAGTTATTGCTTATGACATGTTCATCAAACGCAACAATAAGCTGCGAAGCCTGAGGTAATGAAAATACAAGTTATCAGTTGGATGTCATTAGCCACACCTTAATGGAAAAGGGACATATGGACATATCAGAACATTGTACCTTGGGGTAGAGCACAGGAAAGAAGCGTTCAACATTCACATCCTCACACACTAGCTGTCGAGTGAGAGAGAGCAAGAGGGAAACAGAAGTGAGGTTATCATGTGTCCTGGTTCACTGTGAGCATGAGAGCATGGGCACTGCTTCCAGTTATCTGATACGAGTCAGGCAAAAATTCTGAGGTAAATTTAGAAGAAAAAGAAGGGAAGATAAAGGGAAGTGTAAAAGGGAAGTACATGACAGTACTATCGAAGAATGGTAGAAAATAGGGAAGTGGAAGGACAGAGGTAAAAACAACTTGAAGAATGAGGCATTAAGAACAATCAGGCAAGCACGAATCTCACCTTTGCCATCTGGACGGCATTAGGAAACTCATTCAGACAGGAAATGGGGATCAGGTCATGTTTGGTGCCAGTCCGAGTCCTGACACAAAACAAAAAAGTAATTAGAGAAAAGGCTGCAGGGAGACACAAGCAACACTGGCTCTTCAAAGAAAGAGTAGCCATTCCTGCAAGTTATCCTTAAAGCAGTTAATTCCAGAGGATTAATTTGAAGTCTGGTGCATAAAATCACCAGAAAAGGGAGGTTATTTACACTTCTTATTGCTCATCAGTTGTTGTGGGGAGCAGAGGAAGACAAAACAGGGATGCTTAGTCTCTTGCTCCTTTGCATTCTTTTCTTGCTTGAAGAAGTATTTTGCTTTCCCACTACTACCATTTTCTTTCACAGAAATCTAAATGCTAAAATACAGTTCATGGACACAGCATTATAATGGATTCTTAAGATTATACAATGAATGTTTGAAAGACTGTTAAAAGGTATGTGAGAGACAGCCTCAGAAAGCAGATCTGAGGAGGTAGAAACTGGTGTAGCAGTGTTCCAGAAAGCTGATGGAGGATCCTCAGATGATGGCTCTGAAATCCACTGGTCACAGAAGAACACACATGAAGTCTCACAGAGATGAGGAAGGGGCACCTGAGGAAATAGGAGCCAACAAAGAAACACAAATAGAACACTCCAAAGGAATTAAGAGGTGTTCCTCTAAGAAGGCGACGAGGCCAACAGCCCAGCTGAAGTGCCACTACACCAACGCAGACAGTGTGAGCAACAAACAGGAGCTGAAAGCCACCGTGAAGCTAGAAAGCTATGACCTGGTGGCCATTACTGAAACTTGGTGGTATGGATCCCATGACTGCAGTGCAGCTCTCAGTGGTTACAGGCTGTTTAGAAGAGATGGGCAAGGAAGGAAGGGTGGAGGGGTTGCCCTCTACATCAAGAGATGGGTAGAGTGCAAAGCGTTGTCTCTCAAGAATACCCACGAGCAGATTGAAAGCTTATGGGTAAGAATCAGGGACCAAGGCAACAAAGGAAACCTTGTGATTGGTTCTACTACAGGCCACCCAATCAAGTCAAGACTACTGATGAAGCCTTCTTACTCCAGCTACGGGAGGCATCACACTGGCAGGCTCTTATCCTGCTAGGAGACTTCAACTACCCTGACATCTGCTGGGAAAGTAGCACAGCAGTGGGTGAGCTGTACGCAATCCAAGAGACTCCTGGAGTGCACTGTGGATAACTTCTTCAGCTAGGAAATAGATAGCCCTACCAGGGAGGATATGATACTGGACCTCATGGTCAGTAATGCAAGTGAGCTAATAGGTGATGTCAAGATTGGAGGCTGCAGTGATCATGCACATTGTAAGCTGTCCTGGGAAGATAAAGAACATTCTAGCTCACCTTTAAGGGAGCCTCAGTCTCCCTTAAGGCCTGGGCTAGGCTGCCTTCCATCAGGAAATCCATATTCTCCTAGAGAGTACTCGTGTGTCTCTAAGTAAGCAGAATAAACAGAAAAACTTCCTTTTTGAGAGGAGAACAGATGTTCACCCAGGAACTACAAAGATGCGCCTGCAAACATGACTTCAGCTTCCTAAAAGAAACTGCTAAGAGAAACTTAGAGGGGAAGCAAGAACAGAAGGCTCAAAGGTTTCTTTGCAGTCCACTGCCAGAGAAAGACGTGAGATTTGCACCCATATTGAGAAAGCTCAAGGTAAGGTGATAGACACACACTTCAACAACAGGCACTATTACCTGAGCAACAGGCGTAGATTTTCTTGCTTCTCAATCTGCTCATACTTCACAGAAAGTACCAGGTAGCCCAAGGACATGTCACTGGAGTAAAAGTTCTGGTGCTCCTGAAAACAGAAAGCCAAAATGCTTTATTCCCAACATGCTCCCCAGGGAAGTTTACCAGATTTTTTGCATACAACTTGTCACCTAAGAATAGCTGATTTTTTCTTTGACTAGCAACAGGCATATGCTGTCTCCCAGCCCCCTTGATGATCAGTGCATAAGCATATTAATCAAAGCTCATCCACTCTCAGCTCAGGTTCCCCTCAGCAGTCCACCATCATAAAGGCTCCTGAGAAGGAATAGCATGAGAACATTCAGCAACACATTTTGAAGAAATCAATTGTCCTGTAAATAAATGTGTATCTTTCACAGACTTTCCCTCTATCCATTCAGGCCCTTCAAGACCAAGTAGTGGTCTCCAGCACATTCAACTGGATGTGGTCATGGGAACTTTCTATACAAATGAGTAATGGCAGGATCATTATACCAAGTGGCTGGCCTGTAAGAGCACTCGCATCTCAGTGAGGATGCATCAGAGGTTCAGGTAACTTCTTTGCAGATGAAGACTGTTCTCAGCAGTGCCACTAACACTACTTACACTAAAGCATAAGCATGGCTCGAACAGAGAGCGTCATTCAGTCAAACAATGAACTGCAATGCAAACGTTTCCACAGGCTCTATATGCAAGTGGCTGCAGTCATACATTTCTCCTGGGTATACAGCCAACGGACTGGGTATAACGATATATATTTTATATACTGAGACAGATAGATACAACATATATATCAATATATATGACCTTTAACCTCAAGTGGTTAGAGGCCTTTCAACAAGGGATGTGAATGGAAACCTCTAGAACAGTAAGAATACTACACAGGTGGAATCATCCAGAAATGCTTAGATCACCCCTATCTTTCTAGTGGAAAACCACCTTATGGCTAGTTTTTGGAGCTGGCTGCTGTATAAACTCTGACCAAAGAACTGAGACTGAACTCATGCTTTCAGCAAACAGTCCAAATTATTAGATTTGGGATATAAGCAGGACATAGAGACTATCAAATGTCATGCAGGGGATCCAATTCTCTTTGCATTAGATTTGATTAGATTAATAACTTCCTCTCTTGCTGCTAATAAGAACTTCTATTGAAAGGGGCAGTACTACATTCCAGTATTCAGCCTCCAACCCAAGAGAATATAATGAGATCTGTATCACACTTTTGAGCTAGCACCAATGGAAGCTGGGGTAGGACCCCTTCTCAGCAAAGAAAAGTAATAATAAATAAAACAAAATAAAGAATTTCCAAACCAAAACAGTCTCAGCTACCCTACAGCAGGCAGAATTATCAGTGCCTCCTTATGCCTCAGCACCATGCAAACATGTTATACAGGAATCTGCTGATAGTGGAATCAGGAATGTGTCCAGAGAGATCAGAATGTGTCCAGAGAGGTCAGTGCAGAACCAGTTTAGGCAAGAGAAAACAACGTACTAAAAACCAAGGTTTTCTTTTGGAATCTCCTGCAGACAGATGATGTACATCAAGATACCCAGCTGGATTACCCACTCGTGGATCTGTAGGAAAAAGAAGCTCTGGCCACTCACTGAGAAGTCAGATGCTCCCAGGAGATAAAATGCAGAGACTTTAATGGGGAGCTTGATTCCTCAATTCCACTGGTCAATTGCTTCGCAGAGAGCAGGCACCATTTGCTATCTGGCTTGTTGATATACTTTCTAATCATAGTGCTGTCCATCACCACCTTACTTGAAAGATACATTCAAAGCACTCTGCATACATTTTAGCGTGTACAAACTCTTTTCTGGTATACACCAAAGGCTTTATGCTGTTTGGTTGTAAAAGTGTTTGTCATGGTCAAATTAAATGGGAGACAGAGATTTGCACAGCCCTGCAATTAATGAATGGGCTGTTCTACCACCAGAATAGCAGTCATCTCAAATCAAGGAGAGAGACACTTGCAACCTGAGAAGACAGCCAGGTAGCATGAAGTAAGTAACTAGGATTGCAAGACTCAGGGGAAGCATCACAGGAAGCATTCTTGCACATGACACAAGGGTGTTGAGCACTGGGACAGTAAGTGTCCAGTTGTACAGTCAGAACTTGCAAATTTGGAATATGTTCTGTGAAAGGAACACTCCAGACACACAAAAAAATAATAAGAAGAACTCCATAGGAGCAAAGTGTGTCATCTGATCAAAGAGTTGCTCCTCTGATGGTTCCTTCCTCAGCTTTTTTTGCCTAGAAAACATAGGTGGTCTATTCTTTCTCTGGCGGATCGCAACCTCTCTCAACACACTGGTGAGACTGGCTTTTGCTGTGGGAAAACCCTGAACTCTTTTTTCATATTAGTCATAGTTCTGACTCACTGTGAAGTGAAGATACATCTAGTGAAATCCTCTGATTCTGTGGGTGGACAGAGAGACACCAGTCCCCTCTCTGCAGAGAAGGAAAAAGAATAACTAAGACCACAGTCACTACCCTGAACCTGCAGGTGAAGATGATGCTACTGACCTTACTTTAAGTATTAGAGTCCTTATGTCATTGTCCTCACTTCCTCTCTGAGACAGAAAGAAAAACAAACAAAACCACACAAGAACACCCAGAACTGCCCTGCTACTGACTTATGGGGAAGAAATTTCATGGCTTCTGGTGCTAGCATCGTCCAAAGAAGTGGGTCGTGGAAAAGCTAAGGTATAAGGTAAAGAGCAGCAAACAGAATAACGTGGCTGCTAGCTGCAGTGTTCAAACCACAGGAGTCCAGACTGATCTGCTACACAAATCATTTGTCGTGACTGAACTTATGTTACTTGGGAAGAAAAGATGAAATCCAGGGAATCCCAAGGCTGACAGGACAGTTTATTTCTCCATGACCATGACTTTCAGGATACTAATACATTTTTGGGATGTGAACAAGAATCAGGTGCAGTAGTCATTGTGTCCAAGCTGAAGAACGGCAGGCTCCAGGAGCAAAAGAGTATGTTCAATGGGCAGCTGAAATTTAGAATCAAAGAGATACATGAATCAAAGAAGTCATAGGCTCAGGTGGATGTCCAATAGAGGTTTTAAGGAAGAAGATGGCACAATGCCACCAAAAGCCAAGACCAGAAGTCAGAACAAAGGAATAGGAGCCAAAGCCTGAAATTAACTGCAGCCAAATTTAACACTGAGCTAAAAAAGACCAAAAAATGGGACACAGGCTTCTGAGCCTGGTATGTTTCATCAGCTCTTTTAGCAATAGTAAGCCAGAGAACACAAAAAGGTCTTTCCAGGACTCAAAAGTCATTAGCCCGTTCTCTTCCATCAAACAACTGAAAATAATGAAAAACAATTAACTTTGAAAAAGCTTGGCAACTTCTCATCACCTGGTAAAATACTGGGATAATTTCATCCCTGAAGAAGGAAGAAAAGCAGCCTTGGTGGCCGAATGATTACGTGATGACCTACAGGAATATTATGATACTTGACCATCTAAAACTATCAACAGTGATAGATAACTAAAATCTCACAATACTGAGTAGGCAGCATCATTATCACAGTTGTTGATATACTTGAAGACTTCTTGTTGGAAAAGCTCAAGGTATTGTTTGTCAGTCAGATGACAACAAGGACCAAGACTCTACTGCAATTGTTGTCAACTGCAGAGTCACTAAGGCTGAGCTGGTACTGAAATAATACCTGATAAGGTTGTCTTCTTGCAGGCCCTCTTTGCATCTCTGCTCTGTCTTGGGCTTGTCATGACAGGAAAACAGTAACAAGCTCCAAAACACATGTACTTGCATACCAAAGGAAAATGGTTATGAATATGAGAAGACTTGCAGTCTCAGCAAGTTGGAGAACACGTTTACTAAAAGCACAGACTTGTAGTGAAGCAAAATTAGAGACACTTTAAAGTAACAAAAGAGATCATCACAGTTACACCTAATAATAAAAATGTCCTTTGACTACTTCAAATAGTTTCCACCTCTTTATCCTAGGTTAAGCTAGAATTTCACACTAATAACTTAAGACACAGCTCCTTCTACTGAGAATACTCCATATTCAGAGCACTGCAGCAGCAGCACTTAAACCAGCACAAGGAAAAGACAGCGTAATGGAGAAATACATGACCACATATGAACGTATGGCAAGAAAGCTTCTCTCATCAACATCATCAGCTTCAAGTGCTTGTGAAACTGCATCCTAAGGTTCTCTGTCTGGTATTCCCAAGGTATACCTTTATTAAATCCTTCCTGGCTTAAAGCTACTTCTCTTTATTATAGTCTTGAAAACAACACAGACATTGAATAATTCCCACAGCGTAAGACACGAAGTTTTACAACCTTCTTATCTGTCAGCCTAGAAGGGAAGCCTCCACAAAGGTCACTTTACAAACATCATATTAATATTGGTTTCTAGTGTTGAATACTACACAAGATCATTCAGACAAGCCCAACTACCACAGAACAGGTCCTCAGCATTGCTCAAAGGTTCACCTCTTCCCTAGTTTTGAACTTGTTAAGCAGTTGCAGAGGGAGACCACTGAATAAGATGCCTTGCAAGTATACCTGTCAGGCTTCTTATCTCCCTATGCCTTGAACCGAATCTCAGACGAGAACATGGGTTTGTTCTCACTTGTTCTTGATGGCTAATATCATCCTGAGATCTAGTCTGGGAATCGATCAATTCCCTGAACAGGCTAAAAGACCTTACTGGCCAGGCAGCAAACATCCACTTTGGGAGGCCAAGCTCCGTTTCTCTCTGTCAGACTGGAACTCGAGGAACACTTAGCACCAAACTAACTTAAATCAAACAGCTATAAAGCACATTGTCCAGTTTCTTCATGAACATTCTGTGGTGACTATACTTGCTATTGAGAAACACGAACCATTTTGCTTACTACTGCGGGGCTTGCACTCTCAGTTCTGAAGTCCCTTCTAAAAACAGCACCATCTCAATTCTCAGTACTATTACACTTTCCCTTTTTATCATCCCAAAGTTGTTATCTGTCATGGAGCCTCAGAAGAGCTTCTTAACCAAATATAAGCATTTCCTGTACAAACCTTTCTCTTCTGTTAGCACATAGGATGTTGCTATGTAGCACATATCACAGAGCAACAGGACCAACTTAAAACAGTATAGGCCATACAGTAGTTTGTACTTCATTTACATTAGCTTATGGCATCATGAGGAATTGAAATGCAGCAGCGGTGCAGTTATTTCTAAGTCCATCAGAAAAAGCCTGAGATGCATCTCAGCCCTGAGGCTGGGTGGGCAGAGAAGGCTCTGAAGGACACCCTTACCTTCCCCAGGAAATGTTTGCGGTACAGCTTGGCTGTAGGGTCACTTTCCAGTTTCACTTTACCACTCCAGGGAAAGGGTGCATCAGACAGAGTTGGACTCGAGCTGGAGAGGTTGTGACTCGTCCCTTCAATCCAGTAGCCCCCAAACTGGGGTAAGATAATGAGAGGATATGGCCACCCTTTCTGTAATACCTATTTGGAAGGACAGAGAACATGAACGCTGACAGGCCAATAAGTCCAAGGGAAAACAGAGGAGAGCAGTACTAACTCACCTCATGGATGCTGGGGTAAGGAATATACTCCTCTTCTGTCTGAAATCAGAGAAGACCATTAGTAAAAATGCACATCTTTTAAAGTGTTATGAATTCCTGATGGTGCAAACTGTGCCCTCAGCTTCCATTCTGCCCTAGTTCATCTTTAGAGTTTTACTTTAGGATTTAAGGTTAGGCTCCATTTTCCAGGTCTCAGCAATATAGAACTTTGAGAACAATAAATTTAGGAATCGGATTTCACCCACCTTCCTCTTTGAAACTACACAGAATACAGGCATACAAAATGAGGAGGTAGCCAAACTATAGAGAAATTGGATGAGGTTAGGAGTAAGAGCCATTCTCCTTTCCTTCCACACAGTGCTAGACAGCTGCTGTTCTGCAGACAGAGATGACAGTAGGGATGGTAGAAATAGTACTATTATTGACAGTGGGATCAAGGTTGTGTCATCTCCATAGCTAGACCTGAGGTATACAACTGAGCAGTCCTGAGGCACCACAGTAAGAACAGGAGCAGTATCTGAGCCACGTTATGGCAGTTGGATGCCCCTTCCATCACCACAAAGAGCACTGACTATCTCTGTCAGAATTCAGCTGGATCAGTTCTTTATGTGGCTTCTTTTTAAAGTCATTCCGAGATTAAATTTGATGTCAAGGTTGATTTTAAGGTTACTGTGCCTGAGTGGAGACTGAAGAAATGGAGAAGAAGATTTCAGACTTTGAAGTTGCGAATCTGTTCTTACTGGCCTAATATTGAGGGAAATATACCAACTTGCTAGTAGCATCTCTATGAGTCCTCAAGGAGACTAACTGAAATAAACGCAATGGGGTTTCAAAACTATTATTACAGCTTTTCAGCTGAATAAATTTTAAGAAATTATTCAAAGCTAAGATTGTTAATAATAGGAAACACCTCTTGGAACCACTTAAATTTGTAAAGGAAAGTGTTGATTCTATTTCAGCTATATAGTTTCACCCTCTTGTGCAACAGCTTCAAGGAAGAAGCAGAAAAGAAGGCAAGCACGTATGCATTCTTGGGCTGCATGTAGGCTCCCTGCTCACCCCAAGATGAAAATACACTGCAAGGCAGGTCAGTAATTATTTGTCATTCTCAGCAATTTAGGAGGCAACAACAACTTGGCCTGACCTTGAGAGGAGCTGGAAGGGAACATCTTTGCTCGTCCAGACGACTTCCCTGGAAACATAAAAGTCACAGACAGTGAACCCTATGTTTTCGCATGTCTGCTGCACTTACCCTCAGTGTCCTTCTCCGTATCTCCAACATAAGTAATTGCCTCTCTCCATAAACTTCTATTTTACGCACGTTTGGAATAAAGATGAGGAGTAAAGCCAGAACTTGGCCAGTCCCTTAGTTTGACATCAAAACTGGAAAGCTCCGAGCTCCCCCCACTTTACACCTCTTTAAAAGCAGAAAGCTTTTCTTTCAAGAAACTGCTGTCATACTTCAGGAGCAGTTATTAATTCTTCTAGTGCAAGCCAGGTGACAAAACAAGCTAAATAAAAACCCCTTATCTCTTAATAATGGGCAGCTAAGAAACTAATCTAGATGAGAAATTAGTTGGTCTGCATTTGCTGGAAATTCACATCAGTTCCTTCTGTTATATCTCTAACTAAAGAGATAAAGAGGTTCAAACCCAGTGAGAGACAGCTTTCATATGGTAAGCTGGGAACTGATAAACACTGAGAAACTTAAGCAACAGTCTTCCAGTAAGGGAAGCCTGCTAGTGATTCTTTCTTATACAGATTCCAAAAGGCCTGGAAAAGATTGTCACACCTTTCAACATGCTCTTGAACTGAACAAGAAGCTCTGCACACTCCAGCTCACTTTCTAGCAGAGTTAAATGAGTTAGCCATGCTTGTTATTCTAAAGTACTGAGAACATATCCCATAGTTTCAGTGTCAGTACAGTGGTTTCAAGACCTGTATCTGTATACACATGAATATACAGAAGATACACCTTCAGCCCCTCCCTCCTTCCCTTTTCCTTTCTAGTCTGTCAAATAACTCTACACGTCAGCCTCATAACTCTATACTGAGTTATGAAATGCCCAGCATTTTGCTGCTACTTTCCACCTCCTCACCTTTGCAGTCCCACCAAAGTCTTGCATTTTCCTCATGCCCATAATTTGATCACCCGAATTCCAGAAAGTATGTTAATTGTTTCTTATAGGTTTAATTCCTGCACATAACAAAAAGCAGGAGTTATGTGCCATGTTACGTGTTATGTTAGGTCAAAGTTAACCACAGCATTTTAAAGAATGTTGTACCGTTCAGAACAAATCTTGGTAGTCTCCAAGAATGCTCTGTGAACAAATCATCTGAAAATTCAGTTTAAAGGTTTTTTTTATTCACATATATAACACATTATTACATCACAATCTTTTTATTTGGTAGGCAGAGTTGAGGTTTTTTTCCCCTTTTACTCTATTTTAATTTTATAATGTAATATATGTAACTAAATCCACATGTTTCCATGAGAGAATTAAGCCAGAGTCCTCCTGTCTTCCGCAAGTTACAGACAGGGTCTGCAGTAGTTATTTATTAAACTGGCTGACCTTACTAAATACAGTTATGTTAACATCCCATTGATCACCTGTCATTAGCAGCTGCCACCCAGCAGATATATAGTTTCATGGCAAAGATGCCAGAGATACCTTAATGCAGCTTTGATTTTCTCTCAGAATCGCACTTCTGCAAAGGACACAACTATAATAATTTGTGTCTATTGCTTCCATCGTGATGGCTGGAGAAACGAACACAGGAAAACACTTCTGAAACCCCATTCAAGAGCAGGTACAAAAGCTTGGGCCTAGAAGAGCTAAATATTCTGCAAGCCCAAGTTAAAGGGTATTAGGTGTGAAGCGGCACGACAAATAGGAGCTGATAATTCAGTTGGCTATGAAAACAAAATCAAGAGATCCCAAAGTTTGACAGAATAACTTCTCCTTACCTGCATTTTTTCAATCATCTCAAACAAGTCCACAGTCTGTGAAAAGGAAAAGACAACAGGGAAAACAATCTGAACATTTGCAGAAGCTAGCATTAGCTTCTGTGGTAACCCACAGGTTAGTGAAGGATCCAACAGCTCTTTCCCTGTTTTGGCACAGAAACTACCTGCTCACTGAAGACAAGATTAAATCATGCTTCTTTAGCGATAGCATGGACAATACAATTGGCCAAATAGTCTTTGGCTTGGTTGCAAAAGTTTGACTTGGAATCTGACTGGACAGGTATCAGGAATTTCTCTCTTTCAATGGGTCAGACTACCAACTTGATACAGCATAGCATAAGAAATGATTAAATTAACAAGTTTAGGGTTCTTACAGAAGTGGGCAACTGTAGCTATAACACAGAATCAGTGAGGCTGGAGAAGACCTTCAAGCTCATCCAGTCCAACCTCTACCCCAGGACCACCAAGCCCATCACTAACCCATGGCACTGAGGGTATGTGAACACTTCATGGTGACTCCACCAGTGCCCTGGGCAGCCTGTTCCAGTGCCTGACTACATGTATGCACACGAGCTTGCTTTAGTCACTTCTGCTCAATGGTTCAAGGCACACCCCAACCCTGAGCCACAGGAACATGGACTGCCTTTACCTTGTTGGGGACAGCAGGAGTGAGAGCACATGGAAAGCCTTGGGTGGGAGAGTCTATAACATCACTGAAGCAGCGCTCCCCCTTCTCAGACCTCCTGCAAGAGAGAGGCAGAACAGGTAGAGGGGAAAAAGAAAGAACTTCTAACTCTTGGAGAACTCAAGATGCCAGTGCTTGCCTGCATTGCCTCCTTTGCCTTCTGCTTACTCTTCCCCTACCCAGACCATTTCTTGCCTATGAGGAAGCTGTCATTCCCTGAGAGATTCCCAAAGCTGCCTTAATTTACCACTTGCCACCTGCAAACACCGTGGATGTAACAGCGACAACCTCCCCACCCTGACAGTTCTGTCTCTGTTCACATGCACTATTTTCCTCACAACTGCCATGTAAGTGCTGCATGATCTTTTTCGCCAAGTTCCTCCTCTATTATAGATCTGCAGCAGAATTAAAGTTAGGTCTCATGGAAAGCTTTGCGATCAGATCTCAAAACTGAACCATATTAAAAGAGCTGAAAGCTCTGAAACATCTGAATATGAGCAGCTAAAGAACAGCCCCAGCTGTCACAGTCTGAGTACTAGTCTCCAAGGCAGGAGCATAACAGGGATGGTGCTAGAACAGAACCAATACACCCTGCAGGAGAGATGCAGACACAGTTCTATGTTTCCACTGATGGTAAAGCCAGCATGCCCAGGCTTTTGTCTGCACATCTTCTATTGAAAACTTATTCTGGCCCCTGCGGGAGCAGCAGTGTACACAAATAGCAACAGCATTTGCTTGATTTCATAGAAGAGAAGACAGAAAAGCAACTCAAACAGTAGTTTAAAAGACATATATTGCATTGCCCATTGCACCATGGACAGTCTCACTGCTGCAGCTCTATTACTGTTAGTTAATAAATGTCCCACACTATTCACAGTTTTTACCAGCAGTCACAACTGGGGTTTAAGTCATCGTGAAGGTCACACAGGTGGAGCTTAGAACAAAAAAGCAAGTTTCTAATACAAGAGACAAGACTCCACTTTGTAATGCAAGCATGAATACGGTTGTTATGTGATCATATAATGCAGTGATGAACTGCTATCCTCTAGCTGCTAGATGCATGACTCCTACTGCATCCTACTGCAGTTTCTTCCACACTAAGAAACTGGTATTTATAAGTCATGCAGACTCTTGCTTTGAAACCAGTGGCTACAGTCCCTGTTGTATGGAAATATAAGGTACTTCTGCAATCAGGAAGCTACATGCTATTACAAGTTCCATCTACATCTTCTATGCCCACTAATTTTCTGACAATTCACAACTTATTCTAGTAGCCCAAAGGCATCATGTAACTTGCATATAGGCTGATCGACACAAAATAACACAATGCTTCCATCCCATTATTTTCTCCTGAAATTCTAATGACAGAGATCTGTCATTTAGACAGATGCAATGCATTTAGAGATTAAAGCCATAATGTATACAGGAAAGAAGATGTAGGAGTGAGTCTTGATATCCTCAAATAAATATTAGAACAGTTAGATGGCAAGTTTATTCTAAATTAATATTATACCAACACATACTTTATTTATCATCCTAGTCATTTACTTGAAGTATGTTTGGGAGTGATGAAATTGATGCCCAAGGCAGCACATGAAAGATTTTATTGTTTCTTTTAGAAACATTAAGTTTCTGTTCTGTCAGCCCTGGAAAGGGTAAGAGCTTAATTTGATAAGCTCTCATTTTCAGAAACTAGCCAACCCCAGAGAAGTATAATAGTAGAACTTCAGTGCAACTGGATACCCCTGGGCCTTGTTCCATGCTATAGTGCTTTTCTTTGGCATGGCACTGGTTTCAATCCCGAATCATTCAGTAAAGAGTAGAATGCACACATGCATCATGGAAATTTGGCAGCTCCTACCTGAGGTCAGTGTGGTCAGTCCTGCCCTTGTTCTCTCATCATAAATTCATCCCTACACTTTGGACTGACCTGAGCTCTCAATGCAGCAACTGCTCCTGACCAGCCAATCCTGGTACAGTTCTGTTGTCAAACAGAGATCAAACAGATGCCAATAGATGCCAGCAGATGCCAGAATCAGTGGTCTTACCATACACATAGAGATGCTCTCTATTCTGTATGATCCCAGATTAGAAATGTGCTGGGGGACTTTAGAAGTCCAGGAGAATTACTTAGATTTTATGTTATCTTATTTCAAAATATCACAATTATTTGCAGTCATTGTAACTATCGCTTCAAAGCCCATTTGTGAATTTGGAACTTTTGGAATGAAAAGCACTAAGCTTTTTGTTATAGAAAGAACAGAATGCCATCCTCCTGGAAAAGGAAAGCAAATCGCAGGCTGAGACAGGAATATGCACATGTGAATCTACACTTGCTGAAGCTTAATTTTTAGGAAATGGCAACAAGGGGAAGCAGAAGACCTGGAAAATGCTGCAGACTAAACTAGGATTTTACTAGTGGCAGGTAGCAGCACATTAATTTCAAGCAGGTAGCCAAACTAAAAACAGGCACTGCTGATCCACTGCTAAAGACTCCACTCTCAATTCTGAAGTACAAGAATCCCTTCTGCAGACTTCTAAGCCACTGCCTCCACACACACAACTCTGCTCATGCCCTGTATTCCTGTATTGCAGCATCCTCTGCTATTTCAATCCTGGGATCTTTCTATACAGCTCCCTCAAAATAATTCCCACCTGCTACAGCTGAGCCAGTTTAATAACCAAGTCAATGCTAGTACTTATTCTGTGAGAAATACAAATTGGCCTTGACAGACTTCACACATCCCTTCATCCATCTTTCCTAAGCTTTTCGGGTGTAAAGGGGATTTCCTGCACTCTGAACAGGCGAGTTCCCAAATCATCAGCTAACTATTTTCCTAACAGTTCACAAGGAAACGGGTATAACTATTGTAAAAAACCTCTGCTAATCTGGAAGCTTTCCAGCAGGAAAAACAATACAGCATGATTTTCAGCTAATGATGATTATGATTTCAGCTAACAACAGTCAGTACAATAACTGGTGTCCCAGCCTGAGAAGTGATTCTTGCAATGAGACACTAATACGTGTTTTTTAATTACTCAGCGCTCACACACAGATCCCTAAAACTCCAAAGAACCAATTCCATTCCATTTCTGCCCACAGCCTCTGACCTCCCGTTAGGAACCTCACTTCCAGCCGCACCAGTACCTACCCTCCGCAGGCTCCGGCAGGGAAGCCGTGCTCCCGGGAAGACATGCCGGGCTGCTTCGCTGAGTCAGCTCCCGGGTTCCCTCCTCGGGAGCCTCCTCTCCTTCTGCCTCGCCATGGAGAAGGGCACAGGCTCCCTCCCGGCTCCCAGCAAAGCCGCGGCTCCGCACCCCTCCTCTTCCTCTCAAGCCGCGCTTCAAAGGAGAGGAAGCAAAAGGCACCTAAAGCCGGGACCGGGCCCCAGCCACGCCAGCGGCACCGGGGAACGGAGAGAGGAGGGGGAAGAAGATGAGGCAGCGGAGGATGGGGTGATGACTTCCCCCCCTCCTCTCTGCGGAAGAGCAGTTCCCCTACATCCTTCATGGGTTATCCATGGATAGTCACAACCTGCGGGAGCGCACTGCTGGGACAGCCGAGCCGGAGAAGCTGTCTTTCGGGGAGTCAGTGATGGTAAGACAAGCAGTGTTGGACAAGGACAGCAGAGGGTTCCCCCATTCAACTCTCATGTAGAGTAAGATCTCTTCCCCAGAGTGGGAAAAGTGAGCATCAAGGCAATCCTCTACAACTTCCGATTCCTTTCAAGGGAAGACTAACAGGATACCAAACCCACTAGCCCTTGGTATGTGGAGCTGATGCGTATCAGGTACTAGAGATTTAGCTTTCCATTCAAATAGCTCTCTGATCTAACATGTAAGCTGTTCTCTAGGGAAGCTCAAATTTTGAAGGGTCAGAAACATGTATTTTTATTCACTCATCAAAAAGTGAGAGTAAGATCATGATTTTCCATTGCAACAATACATACACTTGTGTTCAAATAAGAAAACAGCTCCTCTAGACACACTTTTTTCCCCTATGATTCCAAATTTCATTCTACAGGATGATGTAATGTCTCCTCTTCACATCAGGACCTCTAAAGGCAGCAGCCACTACCTTTTGCCAAGTGTCTGCCTCACACTGGGTTTGTTCTAACTCGTGAAGGGGACAGTAGGAAATGAGAGACAGGATTTGACAGAGGAACCAGGTCCTTCCATTTCCTCTTGTCTACATTCCCCCAGCCCCAGCAAATCCGATGCTGGAGTAGGGGCTAACTAATTCAGCCCACCTCCTTGCTCCAGCCCAGGTACCTTCCAGATGGGTCCAGGGCACTGAATACAACTGCTGCTTTCTGCACAGGCAGTTCTTACTCATTCACCTGGATCTCTGAGCAGAGATGTGACTGGGCCAAGGCAAAGAGCCAAGCTTGCCACTTCTGCTGCATCCAGGAAAGAGGAAGAGACATTATTTTCTGCTGTTAGAGAGGGCTGCCAGCAGTAACTACTGCCCTCCCCCATCCCAGGGTCATTAGCAGCAGCAATAGCAAGCCTGGCCATGGAGAAAGCAAACTATACAGAGGTTGTTCTGCCATTCTTCGGCAGCTTGCCACTATAGACAAGAGCCAACTTTGTTTCCGTACTAAACAACACTGGGCTCAGCTTTCATTTAACCGTCTCACAGCTTTACCTAACCTCCTGTGTGATTCCAGCTGGGTACAAAGCCCTGAAGACTCACAAGCAAACCAGCACAGATATTAAATACCCTATTTACAGATCAGTCTCCTTTAGAAATAAACATATGAATAAATCACTGCCGCCCGTAAGCAAATCATAGGCCCCCTTTTCACTTACTTATAATAAAGCTAACAATTGTCACTACTTACACAGCTGATGCAACAATATCACCTAAACAAGACTTCAGTAGCACTAAGTAGATTCAGTTCCTGTTGATACTTGCATTCTTAATATGACTAATTCAGCGTACTTGTAGTCCTGTGTTGTAATCCATATATTGGTCTGTATTTGCATAGATCATTATGCATCTTATAGTTACTGTGTGTTTTAGCAACTGTCATACAAGTTTCTGTTCTTTCAGGTTATCTTTGTAGGTATGTTAATATATGGATTACAGTAATTGGTATCCACAACTTTTTCTGTTTTCCCGGGTTTTTTAAACAGAGTTACCATTCTCACAAATGCATTAGCATTTTCTCTTCCTCACATAGGAAAAGTCTGTATCAACTGCAACACAAAAACTGATCTCTGCAATTTCATTAAGTCATTATGAGAACATCAGAAGGTCCACAGAAACTGTGCAACACCACAGAAACACAGCAGCATACCCTTCAAGGGTAAGGTCTTCAGGGCAGAAAGTGTATTTTTTTGTGTTTTACTGGAATTTTACACTCGGTCCCCACAAACTCATAGATGCACACACACAAACATACATGTTTTCACATCAGCTGCTTCCACAGATCTACGCACACAGCTTCTAAATATAGTACTGAGCATGCAGAGACAGCACCTCCCACTGCCCATTTGCACCCATCATTTTATGTCAAAGGTTGACAGAATCAGGGTGGGATTTCTTTGAACAGACCCTCATTCATGCCCCCCCCCCCATTTCTCCAGTTTGTCTCATTTCTTAACGCAGACATCGGCTCTCCCCACCTCCACTCTCTCCAACTGCTTGTCTACATAACGCAGTATAGCACAATGTCTTTTAAAAACCATACAGCCACTTTCCTGCTGAGGCTGAAACTGCCCCAAAGTCAATCCATTACACAATGCCACACGAGCAGAAGAGATCTGAATCAGCCTTCCCCCCCCTGCCCCCCTGCTATCTTTGCTCCCATTCCCCCTAGATGCAAAACATATTTAATTGGCATTGCAGGCAAGATGAGAATAAAAGCAGCTAAGCTGTTCATCCCCTACCTGAGCAAGGCTCTCTCATCCCCAGCTGGTGAGCAGATGGAGACAGGGAACCCAGCTGCTCTCCTTTCCTTGCACTATCAATTATTCACGTAGGTTGCAGTGTCCTCCCTCTCCCTCCCTCCCTTTCTCTTCCGCTGCCCCCACCTGCAGATGAATGGAGGTCGGTGCTGTCATACTTGAAACTAGAGATCATTGTCGATGAAGAGCAGCCCGTGGAGCAGCTCTGCTTCTATGCAGAGAAGATTGGCCCTGGCAGAAGGGGCCAGACCGGCAGCTCCCTAGGTGGAGCACGGGCAGCCCTGTGCATCTATATCCTGCTCCTTGCACTGCTAGTCCCAGACCTGCAGGGATGACCTTTACAAAGGAGAGGTGTTTTGGTGGCTTTGGTTGGTTGGTTTGGTTTTGGTTATTTTATTTCATTGTTGTTTTGTTTTTCTCCATAGCAAAGCGCAATTTTTCAGTCCTCTCAAGTATAATGAGAGTTATTTGATGGCAGGGAACTGGGTCATGGAGATCCACGTGTGTAGATCAGAGTATGAAGGGAAAGCAGCAGACTGGAAATACATGAGAAATGCTTCCTTAGTACTGACTTACTACCATAGCAGAGGCACTCAAAGAGGATAATCTGAGGGGGCAGGATAATACATTACTTTCTGCAACACTCTTGGTAATCCTGTGTCATGAGACTGACCTGTGGATTGGAATGATTGTTAGTCACAATTGTTTGTAGGTAAGTAAAGAAGATCCTATGTGGTACAGGTCATAGGCAATGCTAAAATGAGTTCTGGCAGACGTAGCTGAAAGCATTTAAAGCATTTTGCCTTTGTAGAGGGCTGCTACCTACAACTGTGTGAATGCTTCAGATCTGTCTCAGAGCAAAATTAGCTTTCATTCCTAGGCCAAACCACTCTATTTTGCACTGGAGTAACTCATTCTGGTCCCATCAGCCTGCTGGGGGGATCTCTGACTAGGTCATGTCAAACAACACTGATTCCTTCTGTCAATTCTTCCCATGACCATAGCCATTGCAGAGGCACCACTGAGATACACACACACAAGAACCTGTATCAGCGTACTCAAACAATAGGTCATCATTGGCTTTTCTGCCCTATTTAACTTCTCCCGTACTTTGAAAAAATATCTGCATTAATTTTACCAGAAGTCATAAATTTTCCTGAAATTACATTAAAAAATAAAGTACCTAATAAAAAAAACGTTGGTATTGTAACCTCAGTTGCGAGTGAGACAACTCTTAAAAAGAGGGCACTGTAATTGTATCTGCGATTGTTTTAATTATGTTCTCTTCAAAACTTCATGGATCAAGATTGGTCAGCCTTTTCCCCCCAGTTATGCAGGCTGGAAATGCTTTATTTTAATAAAGAAAAAGTAAGCACTTTGGCATTGAAAACAACAAAGTCTATAGCTGGAACAACAGTGAATTTCCCTGGATTTGCTTTGTGTAAGAGTTCTAAGAGCTCTGACTGAGTCTCCTGGAGCACTTGCAAGACCCTTCTCTTGCACTGACTTTTCGATGAGGTTCACTTTGCAACCTTTCCCTCTTTTGGGGCATTTACAGGAATTTTATTTCCCAGTGGACCATTTTTGTTAAGTTTACAGGAACCTTTTCTCTGAGATAAGAGAACAAATGATCTTTGAGGTCATTATCAAAGCGATCATTATCAAAATATAACTCGGAGAAAATGCTCAAATGAACAAATTAAGACTTTGATCCCCTAATTTTAGTAGAAGATAATTATTCCAAAGGTTACTGAGGAGTAATGGTGTACGGATGCACGTAGACAGACTAAGGTAAGTTTTGTCTCCAGAAAAGCAGGCTAAGAACAAAGTATGGTAAAACTCAATAATGTAAGAAAATTGGTATTGTAAATATTAGAAAAGCAGTCTTGTTTGGCTTTTCAGTAAGCAACAGATTATCAGTACCTGTATATCTACCTGCAGATACAGAAGCATAAAGGTATGCATTTTATTCTGGATAATATTAGATTCATATTCGACTCATCGTGGGACTATTCTGGCATTTTACAATTTTAAATCAGTGTTATCATAACCTGATTAATAAAATTATAACATCCTGCCATTTCTACAAGCCTTTAAATCACCCTTAGATTACAAACTGACTGGGGCTTCATGTTTTGTCTATAAAGAATCTAGGAGAAATTGTTTCCACGTTTCCTTAACACCTTCATTTGCAGATGTCACAATACATTATTGATATTACCACTATTCTACACATGGATAAACTGGCACAGAGAGACCCTCACTGTTACCCAAGGCCAGAAAGAGAAAACAGCTCGGGGTCTGTCAAAACAGTAGCATAAACAGCTTGAGACACCTGCAGACTACACTGACACCAAGACAATTCCACTCGGATGATCCAGGTGACATCCTGATAGTCAGGTGCAATGAACTAGTGTTCATTGAACTAGTGTTCAATGAACTAGTGCTAGTGCTGGTGTAATGAAGAGGACTGCAATAAGTGGCCAGGGGTGGAAAGG